AAGAAAAGTACATGTATGACAAACTAAGACAGATAATAAATCAGATGTCACATGATTAAAAGCACTCACAGTGAGCACGGAGAGGTCGGGCACGGCCAGCAGGCTGAGCAGAGGGAGGACGGCTCCGTGTTTGATCACATGGTCTCTGAGGGCAGAGCCATCACCTGAGACGGGGGACGAACAACACGGATCATTAAGACAAGGAGACACCAACAAGATGAGAAAACATACATCTGCAAGTAATACCACCAAGCAAATGTACAAACGTATACAAATGTGTCCTTTTGGGGGAAAAACCCAGTAAAATCTGAGTGGCTAAAAACCTGTTTGATACTTAAGGAAGGCCTGATATATAGAATATGAGACATTTCTACATTTTTGGGAAAAGAACCAGGTGCGACTTTTTGGAAGATGTGTCAAATACACAGAGTTGGCTTAAGTTAAAGTATTTGATATGTGTAATGTCCCATTTCAGAATCATATATATTAAATAACTGGATTATGATCATTTATGCGTCAATGTGTTCAGCACATCTTATAAGTAGAGTATACTGGCTTCTGAAATGTAGCGCAGTAGAAGTATTAGCATACAAAAAAAATACTTGAGTTCAAGTACCTAAAAGTTCTACTTGTACTAAAGCTACTTCATTATAATCCACCTCTGTAGATAGAATGTGAAAAAGATGGCCTAATAAATACCGGCGATGTTCCCCAGCGCCCACACGGCCTGCTCGCTGATGTGCTGGTGGGGGGAGTTGACCAGGCCGATGAAGGCGGGGATGCCCCCCCCCCTCCACCACGGCAGCCGTCTGCTCTGAGGTCCCCGAGGCGATGTTAGTCAGAGCCCAGGACGCCTCAAACTGCATGGGGGGGGAATCCACCAGGCTCAGGAAGGACACGAACCTCGGGATGAGACCCGCGCTGATCAGCTGGTTGATCGGGGGGTTCTTCTCCCGGGAGAGGAGCTTCCTGTGAGGAGAGAGGAGAGGAGGAGGCGAGTTAGAGGAGAGAGGAGGTGAGTTAGAGGAGAGAGGAGGTGAGTTAGAGGAGAGAGGAGGGAATAAGTGATAAGAACAGAAGGAGCTGAAACTGTCAGATTTGATCACTATGGGGGAATTCACACATAAATTCACATTTATTTATATATAATAATAATAATAATAATAATAATAATAATAATAATAATAATAATAAATGTGCTTGTTGTTACCGTGCTGCCTGAGTGGCCTGCAGCTGAGTGTCTGCGTCTCCACTGTTCACTCCAGTGAGGATCTCCTCCACCGTCCACTGTCTGAACGCCTGGCAGGAGGACAATACAGGGAAGATTAAAACCAATAACAACAACTCCTTCTCCTGACCCCTATAGCTCAATTGTCTAGAAACATGATAGATACAGCTAACAACAACAAAGATGATATGTGAACATGAACGCCTCCAAGTTACAATCCCTTGTAATGTTACTTATCATTATCCAATTTGTACCTTGGTAAATGAATACATTGGGCTGCAGTAAGGTGATGTAGATACAGCTGAAACAAGTAGGCGGTTGAGAATTTGATAAAACCTACAAAAAAGTATTTATGGAGGTCTATGTATTTCTATCACACAAAGAAATATGCAACATCCATGCTACCGTAACATCTTAAATGATAGATCATAATGTAAAAACATGGTTCTTTATCAATGAGGAGAAAAATCCCCAGCCTATTTTAATTTAATAACTTTTAGAAGAATATATATTTGTTAGAATAGATTATAATGCTGTTCACCCCATGCTAATACAATAGCATTTTATCAGTGAAGCACAAAATCCCTATCCCTCTGTTTAACTTTATCAATCCATAAGTTTCCATTTTGTCAGATTGATTCTAATCAGCAGAAGAAAGTAGGCAACCATTTTTGAATAGGACTGCTGAAAATGTGATTAAATAAAAACATATATAGGGAGTTTCACAAAGACATGAATGCATATAAAAGTACATGCAAAAGTGATTTAAGGGTGGGGTCTGTGGTGTTAAAACCGACCCCTTACATTCCTCAACTAACAGATCTCAGATCAGCAGCACAGAGCAGAATACACTTCATTTTCAAAGATTAAACTACAAAAAAAGTTACATTATTGGCTTTTTATAAGATTATAAATGGGGTTTTCTTGTATCCTCTGCACATAAAACCACATTAAGTCGTGTAAAAGCAACTGGAACAATAGATTTAACGTTTCCTTTGTTTTAAAAGACGTTTTTAAAACTCTCACCTGACAGTTCTGGGTCCTCTCCTGCAGAGGGGAAGTGGCCTCGTCAGGAAACACTGCCACATTTCTCTTTTTGAACATCTGGTCATCTTTCTTCGCCTTTCGGAGCTCCACGTTCACCTCCACCCTCCTGCGACGAAGCTCCTGCATTTACGGTCAATTTAAAGTCACATTTAAACCTCAAATATCTGGATTAAGAAGCTAAAATGTCGCAGAAATCAAACTCACATTGGCGTCTTTGCCTTTGTTCTTGAATTTGTTCAGACGGTCGGCGTTCTCACATGACGGAGCAGACATGTTTGCAGGTGACAGGGAAGCTTAGCAGCAGTAAAAATGAAGTTTTAAGTGGTTTTTCCTGCAAAGAAATATAGGTTAAATCACTTTTAGCTGCCTCATGTCAAGCATATGGACGGATTGACACCAAAATAAACCCCTGACAGCCAGCTACAGTTGGTAATATCGTCAATAAACCACAGAAAAGTATGCAAAACTGTATTTTTTCAAGGATATAATGACATTTCTTTTAATAAAGCTTGATAAGTAGGAGACACGTTCTTACCTGGCTCTCGCTCGGAGGTTGTAATACTCGGAAAGTGCCGCACAGACCTTTAAATTGCTGAAACTGAGCCCTCTGATTGGTCTGTTTGAGCAGAAGCATCCAGCCGCCTCTTCTCATTGGTCCGTTTGAAAAAATCACGAAGCAAACAGGAAGTGTCGTAATGCGGGTATCGCGATACTCCGTAGCGCGGCAGAATCAGACTTCACGGGAACTGATCCTGACTCAGTTTTTAACAGTCGTTCTGGTTTTTCATTGGATGCTTGTGACGGATGAACTGATCCCAGATCTGTGGATTTCGGTCCTCATGAAATAACACTTTTACAGGGGACAAACCGTCCTAATAATCTATGGAAGACATTCTAGATAGAACAATGTCAATACTTTTTTGTACATTTACAATAGAAAACGACACGTTTCTTTGTTACTACATAAAATACCTCATGTCACACCTTTTTATCTCACAATTTAATACTGACATTTTATCCCATAATTATGACTCTTTACTTCATAATTTCGATTAATCTCATAATTTCGATTTTTCTATCTCGTAATTATGACTTTTAGATCTCATAATTGACCTTTTTATCTCATCATTATCCCGTAGTTATGACTTTATCTAATAATTTCAACCTCTTTTCATTTCAAAATCTTGTGATTTTGAATTGAAATCTTATATTTGACTTTTTATTTAATAGTTTTTACTTATTTTATCAATCTTTACGTAGTTCTCATCATTATGACAATGTTTTTTACCTCATAACTGCCACTTTAGATCTCATGATTGCCTTTTCATCCCATAAATATGTGTCATTTAGACTCTTAATCTCATAATTTCTACCTTTTACTCGTTATGACTTTTGTATTTCATAATTTGGACATTTGTCTCATAACGCTGACTTTATATATCATATTTCTTTTCTCAAAAGCTCAGATTTTTGGGTACCACTTTACAATAAGACTACCCTTATAAAGGGTTTACGAATAGTTTGTAATTCAATTATTAATTAGGTTGTAAATCATTAATAAGCTTTTATAAGACATGAGATAAACAGGGCAACTGTGACCGGTTGCTTGCCAAATAGTGAGCCCACATGTATCTGTACTGCTAAATCTTATTAGAAATGTTAGTAACTCATTAATAAATGGGAATGTGTTTTAGACTTTACAATAAGGCTCCCCTTTGGCAACTATAAATGTTACTAACTCATAAATAAATGGTCATAAGAGATGCCAAGAAACATCAAGATGGAAGGGGGGGAATCAACTCAGTGAACAACAGATACCAAGGATGCTGGCTGATGAAGAAGACAGGTAGCCCATATAAGGCATCTTGCCAAATAGTGAGCCCACATGTATCTGTACTGCTAAATCTTATATTGGCTACCTAGCTTACTTCGTCTTCTTCATCAGCCAGCATCCTTGGTATCTGTTGTCAGGGTTCATACACTTTTTCACCAATGATTTTCAATGACTTCTCCATGGCCTTTACCTAATTTTCCATGACCAATATAATTACTCTTTCTCAGCGGTACCACTGAAAATGGTTTATTTGAACATGGAACAGGAAAATAAGGACTGCATATGAAACATGTTGTGCCTATCTAAAACAAATCAAATAGTAGCCTTACTAGCTTCTACACGCTAAAGCAACTAAAATCTCTCACCAGCAAAATACCTCGTCAGTTAAATGCCATTTTACGTTTCATTACTATACGATACAGTATTTATTATCATTATAGTATTACTATTTTGGCGATTAGATAAAATATAAATTATATTTGATGCAACTTTAGTTACATTTCCATAACTTTTCCAAAACGTTGGAAAAAATATTGTTTTCCATAACTTTTCCAGGGCCTGGAATTAGCATTTTGAATTTCCATGACTTTTCCAGGTTTTTAATGATCGTAAGAGCCCTGTGTTGTTCACTGAGTTGATTCTCGCGAAGTAGCCACTATAAGGCTTAGTCATCTTGCCAAATAGTGAGCCTGTGTTGATGTATGCAAACTATGTTAGAACTTGCTGTTTTTATCTCATATTTTCTAGTTTTTATCTCATAATGACTTTTCATGTGGATTTTTAGCCCAGATATATGCATTCATTAATTATAAGCAACAATGTCCCCAAATTCAGACATTTTTTATTATTATAATCAAGTTTAAAAAACATTTTCACACATCAAGGAAGATATCAGTCTTTTATATTTTATTAAGTTCCATATACATCAATATTTCTCCAGATGTAATACAAAAAAAGAAAAAGAAATCAGGTGAAAATTGGACAATTATAATCATTATTTTTTTTTACAAACAGGGCAGAAACCTTCAGATTTATCAAGTCGTCCTTCTGAGTCAGTCGATCCATTTACAATAGCTTATTACTGTTCGATCAGTAGGTCGAAGACGTTAAACCTACTGCTTTCCAACCGTCTTTCTAAACAAAAAGTGGAAAAAAGGCTAATTTAGACACTTGATGCTCAGTAAAACTCAGCTATTGTTCGTCAATATTCAAATTTCTCGTTGGAAATGTCGGATGGCCTTTTTGTTAAACAAGAAAGACAAAGAATGAAAAGACTGAGATCCCAAAAAAAAAATAAACATGGAAATATGAGAGCTCCTTAAAGAGTCTTTTCTCCGAGGTAAACCGTCTTCTGAACGCTCCTCAGTTCAGTCCCACCGATGAACACAGGTCCAAAAAAAAGGTCCCTTTCAGAGCGTCAACGCAGACCCTGAACGCAGCACGAGAATCCGTCACACAGTTCAGAAAAATAGCAGTTTTCTTGGCAAGTGCATTTGTTTTGTTGTTTGAGAAATGTGCGCTGCTTTTTTCTAAGAGACCGTGGAACACTGTAGCTTGTTGTTATGAGACCTACAGGATGTGGAGAGAGGGGAGAGTTGAGAGCCCTTCGTGATTTTTATATTTATTTCTGCGACATACACAACAACGAGGATGCAAAAGCGGAGAATCCTGCAGGAGGAAACATCTGGGAATGCCTTTATTTAGGGAGGAAATCTTCCAAACTGAGGTTGTGAAGCGCTTTGTAGTACATTTTCTTAAAATAATACTATCTAAAAATGATTGGTTTCATAATTATTTAAAACATTCAAACATACAACCGCTGTACATGATAAAAAAGTATGTACATTCAAGATCTTAACAACCAGCTCAATCAAACTCAAAGGGGATGTAACATACAAAACTTCTCATAAATATCTCTATATAATAAAATACGCAGCTTTACATATGGTTTTTGTTTTATATCCCGTAAGGTGGACACATAATCTATTGAAGCTCAGAAAATAAATACAATAAATGCATTTAAAATCCTGATTAAGACGTGAGTTATTGTTGAAAAAAAGGCCAGATTGGAGGAAATAATGAGAAGAAAGGGTCCCTTGATTGCATTTTCTGATTAAACTGATTATTATATTACCAAAAATGTGAAATTGCCGGCGTTTACATGAAAGCACATTGGTGTGTTTGTGTGTGTGTGATTTCCTTCTTAAGTTATTGTTTTTATATATAGAGAGGCCAGCATCCAGTCCAGACTGCAGCTACTTTAAGAATCTGACAATCTGTAAGAAAAGAGAGAATGGGATGGCGTAAATCAAAAAGGCATGCAGCAAAGGTGAACACACACAAATGCAACGTGACACATGATACACACGGTACACACACGATACACACGATACACACGGTACACACGATACACACAGTACACACACGATACACACGATACACACGGTACACACACGATACACACACGATACACACGGTACACGGTACACACATGATACACGATACACACGATACACACACGGTACACACACGGTACACACGGTACACACACGATACACACGATACACGGTACACGGTACACACACAATACACGATACACACACAATACACGATACACACATCTGTGAAGACCTAATGGACAGAAAGGCTCCTACATATTTCGGTCCCATTTTATCTTTTATTGGACATTTAACTTGAAAATCGAATGTTTTTCTAAATATATTTTATTGCTTATTCTTAAACTAGCTTCTTATGTTAATGAACATATTCCATATATATCTTAATTATTGGAAATGTTCTATTCTAAATTAATCTTTTATCGGAAATTCTTACTACATTTTATTAATATAAATATATACATAATGTACATATTTTTATTCTATTTTTATTTTAAAGTGGATATTTTCCTTAAAATTCTTATATTTATAAACATAATTTAATTGTATTTATTTTTAGACATTTTACCTTATTGTCTTATGTTTATATAAATATTTATTTGTATCTTTACAGCACATTTTCTTTTAAATTGAATGTAGAATTAGATGGATGAAACCCTCTTCAATGGCCACACACACATGCACACAGCACACACAGTGACATGTGACCTCTGCATTTAACCCCTTCTAGTACTAGGACTTAATGTTATTAAGTATAAAGAGAAATAAAGTATTGTTATTATAATTATATTTTATTATCTGGGTGTGAAATCGGTCTAATGTCCTCTCTGTAGGTTTGAGTCGAGCAGCAGTGACTCTCCAGGTGGATCAACGTCAGGCGCATGCCGGTGGTAAACAAATAGTTGAAAGTGAGTGATGTCATGGAGGGAGAGAGACCCAGATGTTCAGCACATGTTTTTACCTGCTGGCTTTGAAGCCTTTGAGCTTCTGAACGAAGAAGGCCTCCAGCACCTCGGCACACTGGAAGAAGGGCGTGTCGTTGGGGTTGTAGTAGCGACAGTTATCGAAGATTTTGGTCACGTCCGCCACGATCTCCGTGAGCTTCTGGTAATGTCGCTTCTGCAGACGCGTCTCCATCGTGGAGAAGTCTACGAGGGGACGGAGACACATGTGATTAAATAAATACATGTTGTTCATATCGTGGAATAAACAGCGTGGAGAAGTCTACGAGGGGACGGAGGCATACGTGATTACATTTTCTAGATTATTCATGACGTGAAATGAACAGCATGGAGTTTTTTTGTTATTTTGAGCATTTCATCAGGTCAGGAAAGGTTTGATGCATCGGACATTTGTTTTTTTAAGAAAAGGAACTCATGATGATGTCTGTGATCCAGTTCTTACCCATGGGCTCCTTGATGACGCGATAATAATCCGGAGCGTCGTGAGGATCCACCGGCTCCAGGAAAGGCCACGCCATTTTATGAGACTGTAGAAATAACAGAAAGATAACACACTTATAAGATGGAGTACCAATGAAACCAAAACCAAGAAAGGAGTAGACATTATTTGCCGAATTGACCTTGGATGAAATTGTATAAAGGATTTAAAAAAAGAGTTTTGATAAGCTCTTAAAAACAGTTAATTTTAAAGGTCACCTATCATGCTATTTTTAGGCAATAGCATAGGTCTCAGATATATACAAATATAAAAAAACATGTCTATGAAGTGTTTTGCTCAAAATACCAAACAGATCACCCATTCTAGCCATGCCTCATATCCCTCTATTTCACTTCCTGTTTCTAAAGTGCTGATTTGGGGTATAAAGCTTTAAAAATAAGAGGGGGCGGAGCTTATGCCGGCTCATGGCTAAAATGCTGCGGTGATGAAATGCAAGGACTATTAGATCAAGGATTGTTTCTGAAACAGTATGGAGCTCAAAGGCTTTCTCTCTTGCCGGTTATACCACAAGGTGAGTTCCTTTTTATTTCCTGCTTCTTCACACACATGCTCTCCAGTACAGGTTAGCTCTGAGTGTTAGCGATGCTAATGTAAACACCGACCATATTACGTCCAAAACAGTCGGGCATTGTTTCTGATAGCAACGTTTCTGATAGGGCCGTGGGTCCACATTTCAGATATTACGTCATATCGGACACAAATCTGGATCAGCTCCGTTGTACCCCCGTTTTTAGAGATTTGGGTACGGAGGGAAAGAGAGAGGGTTTTATTTTCTGACGCTGCGTGAGTTCCCTGACACACCGGGGACACATATTTATGTATAAAAGACATCAGAAAGTGCATTTTGCATGATAGGTCTCCTTTAAATCTCCCATTTTCTAAGATATTTGGGAATATGGCGTCAGGCCATTTAATAAATATGATAAGACTGTGTTGTTACAGGTCAAATTTAAGGTCATTATGTGGTTAAGTAGAGTCTGGGCAATGATTTTAGGTCATCATCATTTTGAAGTGAGAGATTATAAGTACAAAATAAATGTGCCATTAGCCGCTTTCACACCAAGTACTTTGCCGTACTTAGTTCCCAGCACTTAGTTCCCAGCACTTAGTTCCCCCATGGAACTAAGTACAGATCGCGTTCTCACCGGAATAAGTCCCTGAGGGAAGATTACGCAAATGAAGCCGCTGACGTCACTTCTTCTTCTTCTGCTTTGGATTTACTGGCAGGCCGCAAACAACTTCACGGCGTATACTGCCACCCGGGGTCCCCGGCCGGAAGTCCCCGGATTTTGGGACTGGCTTCAGTAGAAGCTGCTGGGACTCCCAGCAGCTTCTACTGAAGCCTTCAGAGTAAATCGCCAGAACACCGACACCTCCTCATCTCCACCGCTCCAATGTTTTGTTTTTTTTTGCCATAAGTTAGTCTCTCTCTGTTGGTGCGCGGGGCTAATGCTAATGCTAATAATGCTAATGCGGGCAAATACAATGGCGGCTTCACAAAACTTTTCGGAGTTTTACGGGGCGTGGTTTGCAATTCACCCAGCCAATCAGAAATTGGTACTTTTTATTGCACATTCTTACTTCTAACTTCTTGTGTTTGTATATATATTTTAAATAGCCGAAAACACAAGTATAGAAAAAGTTGAGTGAGTTTTATTCTAATATTTATTTCGGTTAAACAAGGATTTTTTTTAATCAAATATTGCTCTTCCTGCAATTTGAATATTGCACTAAACCATGTTGTGATTTGGGAAAAACTAAGTATTAACTGTGCAGCCTTACTCTGTAGTAGCGACAGCCGGACAGACATTATTTCTCTCCGTACCTGTAAGGAGCGCAGTATTCTCTTCAGCCCCTCGTAGTCCTTGTCGGTGAGCGGCGTGAGGACCGTCATGGCGTCCTCGGTGGACTGGCACTGCGGACACACGTACAGATCGATGTGCGTGGCCTCGCTCTGAAGGATCCCCACGCAGCGCCCGTGGTACCAGTTCTGACAGCGGTCGCACCCGATGTAGAACCTGAGGGAGAAATCAGAAGAGGGTTATAACAAGCCCCCAGGAAGTGTTTTGCACTCTGAGGAAAATATTCCTAGTGGCCAAACGGCGGTAAGGTAAGTGAACATAACTGTGAACATTCATAAACACACCTCCGCTCCTCAAAGACTGCTATTTGACCTGCATCCTTTGGTCACTATAACCTTTATGAACACACAGTTAGAAATACACTACATTCATACAGTTTTGTACATTTAACGTGTTTAGACTGTAAGTGTAAATATGCACATTGACATTGAATGTTATCTCGTTGCACTGTCATCACTATTCTATTCTAAGGTACGTTTATTTATAAAGCACAAGTTTGTTCCATTTTTGGGAAGCTAAAAAACTAAAAGCAGCTTCGAAGTGTTTGGTTCTGAGCTGGGGAACAATAACCGCGTTCACACCCGAGTACTTTTCCCCGTACTTTTCCCTTTTAGTTCCGACAGTTCCTGGGATTTTGCGTTCACACCAAAAAGAGAACTTAGTTCATGAGAACTTTTACCCCCATTTTTAGTCCCTGCTAGAGAGGTGGGACTTTCCTGGGAGAAATAAGTTCCAATTTCTGATTGGCTGGGCGGATTGCAAACCACGCCCCGTAAAACTTTGAAAGGTTTTGTGAAGCCGCCATTGTATTTGCTCGCATTAGCATTATTAGCATTAGCCCCGCGCACCAACGGAGAGAGACTAACTTATGGCAACACAAAAAAAAACATGGGAGCGGTGGAGATGAGGAGGTGTCGGCGTTCTGGCGATTTACTCGGAAGGCTTCAGTAGAAGCTGCTGGGAGTTCCAGCAGCTTCTATCAGCGGATCATTTGGGTATTTTTCTTTCCTTTAACAGACAAATTGTTCTGTACTTTGTTGAACCTGTTCACCATGGCCTTTGACCCCTAACCTATCACAGTCCCCCTGCTTCCACTCCTACTTATTTCATTTTTTGTTATTATTTGCCCCTTTTGATTGTTTGTTTACCATGTAAAGCGGCCTTGGGTCCCTTGAAAGGCGCTATACAAATGTAATCTACTTCTACTAATGTGCTGAAAGTGCCACGTCTGCAAAAAGCGGCAAATAAAAAGATTTTGAAGCAAACAAAGGTTCCCCCTGCTGTGAGTGTATACGTACTGTGATTCGTCGTAGGGAGTCCTGCAGATGCAGAACAGCTCCTCCTCGGTGCTCTCTCCCTCCTGACCTCGTTTACAGGCGTCACAAACAAAGTCCTCCAGCTTCTTGGCTTCTTTCTCCGTGATGCCCACACAGGCTCCGTGGAACCAGTTGGAGCAGAGGTCGCAGCCGATGTAGAACCTGAGAGGAGGAGGAGGGACTTTAGAGCCTTTACTTACATTAAAGCAGAAACACTGGGGTCTTTAAAATACTATAATACGTTACTTAAAAGTGTTAGGCCCTGTAATGTTGTTCTATAGGTTTGTGTGCATGTAAATGGGAGTGCACCAAGATTTAAAACGTCTTGGGAAGAGGTAACATTTATGATAGGAGAGATTTTATCATTGCAGTTAATCGTGGAACCCTTTTGTTAAAAGAACTAAACCCAAGGAAGCCAGAACAAATCTTTTTAAATGTATGTCTGCTACAGGCAAAAGCACTTTCATGAAAACATTTAAACCGTCCAAGTATTGGTAAACGGTTAAAAGAACTGTCTCCATGGGTCTCGTTAGAGAAAATAACATATTCAATTAAAGGAAAACAAGAACTATTCAACAAAGTACGGGGCCCTTTCCTTAACTATCTAACACGAGGATCTAGAGCAGGGATGGGCAAATGGCGGGGAAACACTCACAAGAAACACCGGCTGTTCTTATGCCTGCTGTGACGTTAACTTGCCGCTTGTAATTATGCCGTTATAAGCTTAAAGGTTGTATTTATCATCTGAATTTGGTGAAACGAGTTTAATATTCTAAAAACCAAGACTTTGTTTATTTGAAATCAGATGAAAACAAACTGTCACGGACCCTGCCGTGTTATCTATGATTACTAGAGCGGCGAAGTCCCTCCCTTTCCGGGGACCTCCATGGGACCTTATTTCGGAGAAGTCAATGGAGAGAGAAAGATTATCTTTGGATCCCGTTTGAATTGTGCCACGAATTACACATATGATGTTTGTCAATTTAAAAGATAATTTTACAAGTCAAAAAAATAAAAATCTGTGGTAAAACTGTGAAGTAACACTTTTTGTTGTGTGAAACCGCTCAATGAACTACATCTCCCGTCTCGCAGCACACACCAAGACGGCCGTCACGTTGGCACATTTCACTTCTTTCTTTCAGAATGAGGCGGAAAGTATTAAAAGAGGTGAAAATCACTCCAAGTCTGGGCATGTTGAGAGCTGTACATACACACAAGGGGAGTTAGTCGGTTCCTAAGAGCCAGCATGCGGGACCGGGACTCTGGGATTTGTAGTCTTTCTAGATGCGTATTTTTCATAGTCTTATATTTCAACAGTTTTACGACAAACTGTGACTTTTTTTTACATGGAAATGATTATTTAAGATTGACAAACATCATATGTGTAATTCATGGCGGGATCGAAAGATAATCTTTCTCTCGGCGCTGAGGAACAGCAGAGTGCGGGTTGACAGGTGCCTGTATGGAGGTGTGTGGCGCAGTGGACTAGTGCGTTGGTGTTGGGATCAGGGGGTCACAGGTTCAAACCCCACTGCAGTCAGCATGTCGTTGTGTCCCTGAGACACTTCACCCCAAATTGCTCCTGTGGGGATTGTCCACAGTATTGAGTATGTAAGTCGCTTTGGATAAAAGCGTCTAACAAGTAACATGTCATGTAATGTGTGGACATTCCCCTTATTGTGCGTCAGCAGAGGCTACAAGTGTCTTAGGTTCAAGTTAGACAATTAATGTCTGGGTTAGTGTTCATGACTTCATGTTTATGTCATCTTAATGTTTAATCTTGATGCACACACATTTTCCGTGCTTTCCAATAGTTTAAAATAGTTTTATTCCACTGTTAAATAACCTGTTCAATACAAACATGCCACTTGTAAAAATTAAATCACATTTCTGTGAACTGATATTTGTTTAGTGAGCTTATTAGAGGATGTTCCCTGAAAGAAGTGTCAATGAAGATGTCCGACTTAGTATATTTGTTAATAATTACAATACATGGAATTTGTGTGTGTGCGTGTGTGTGTTCCAAGTGAATCTGCGGCCCCCTGGTGGCCAGTTCATACATGATGTGGCCCCCACCACCATCCAAGTTGCCCATCCCTGCTCTAGAGAGCACTCTGGGTCAGCTAATTGGAGATGATTAATGTTCCTCTGCTGGAGGAAGGATGGAAGCCTTTCATATACATGCTTGTGTAGTTCCTTACTTAGCCTACCAACATGTTTGTGTAGTTCATTGAATGTGTTTGTGACTTTTAATGTACTTCATTACGTCATGTCTTGTGGATGTTTGTGTCCTGTCTTATATATTGTCTATACATGCTAAAAACAATAAAGAAAGTGTTACGGTCTGCACAGGCTGAAATCCCTGTGTTGGCTCCAGAGGGAGTTTCTCTCTCACACACTACTTTAAAGTGGACCTATCATGCTATATTTGAATAATATAGTGTAGGACCATACCTATATAAGGCATATTTATACTTTTTTTTTTTCAAAATACTAAACAGATCATGCATTTTAGCCATGCCTCATTTTGCTCAATTTGAAAAATGTTAGATCTGTTTTAGCAAGGGCTGATTCAGTGAGAACAGCACCATCTAGAGGCCTGGCATATGTACTACAGCGTCTCCAGCGCTTTCAAACGGCAATGGCCGTGGCTGTCTCCTCCTGATTGGTGGAGTTGGCCCAATAGCCGTAGCGCCACCGTCCTGACGTCAGGACAGTGTTCAAATCTGGATCAGTTTTTATCAGATCCGTTGCAGCCCCTTTTTTAGAGATTTGGGTATGGAGGAAAATAGAGAGGGTTGTGTTTTCTGACACTTGGTGAGTTCCCTGGAACACCGGGAACACATATTCATGTATAAAAGACGTACAAAAGTGCATTTTGCATGATAGGTCCCCTTTAAGTACAGTACTCGTTTTAAAGTGCTTCCCCAACTGACTGCTGGCACTTCACTCACTTGGACTCGTCGTACGCCGTCTTGCACACGCAGTACAGTTTGGGCTCCTTCTTGTGATCCTTGGAGGAAGACGAGGGCTTCTTCTTCTTCTTGTGTTTGTCTCTGTCTTTGTCTCTGTCCTGATCTTTGTCCTTCTCTTTGTCCCGGTGTCTGTCCCTCTCCTTCTCCATCTCCCCTTCTCTGTCTTTATCTTTCTCTCTACAGAGTTCCCGATCTTTCTCTCGCTCTTTCTCCCGCTCTTTATCTCGCTCTTTCTCCCGCTCTTTCTCCCGCTCTTTCTCCCGATCTTTTTCCCGCTCTTTCTCCCGCTCTTTGTCCCGCTCCCGTTTCTTCTCCTTGTCGTGATGCCGGTCTCTGATCCGGTTCCTGTCTTTGTCCCGCTCTTCCTCTCGTTTACGTTTGTGTGAGGAAGAGGAGGAGGAGGTGGGGGAGGGGTGTGCGCTGTGGGAGGAATGTGAGGAGTGATGAGTGGAGTGTGAGGAGGTGTGTGAGGGAGTGTGTGAGGAGGAAGTGTGTGAGGAGGAGTGTGAGGCGGCGGCGGCCTTCACTGTGGCTGCAGCCGCCTGAGTGATGGCCGCTCTCGCCTTCTCCTTCTCCTTCTGCAGCCGAGCGATGTCCCGCCTCAGCTCCTCCTGAGGAACACACAATGTTTAGTATCTCCTCTCTAAATGTTACGCCTCTGGCCAAGAGGGCAGCATGGACAAAGTTACAACAAATGAACACAAAACAATACAGCTGTCCTAAAACACAAATGAAATGGCACGTTAAACAGTCAATATGCAAATAAAAGGGAGATTGACGGCCCGTCCACACAGCAGCGTTAAAAAAATCTTGGAACGCTTCTGCCCATTCACTTTGAATGGGGTGACGTCACTTTGCCTCACTTTTCGCCGAACTGCATTGTGGGAAGCAGAGCGGAGATTTTCAGGATTCAAAGTTGAGCAATGTTCAACTTTTGAAGCTGAGGTGGAAGCGTCAGCCAATCAAATCCTGTGTATGCAAATCTGACAGTTCAAGCTCTAGCCAATCAAACGGCGTGTAAGCTGGGAGAGACATACCGCCGGTCATTTCCTCATATTCCAAAAAATGGAGGAGAAATTAGCGGTAGCGAATCAATCACCCGGTGCTTTATGACCAGTCCCTATTTACCTACCGGGATACAAACCGGAGGAGCCAGGCATGGAGGGAGGTGGCAGAGACAGTGGTAGGTTTTCGCCTGTTTGGGGAGTTTATATCCAGTTTACTTCGGGCTTTTTTGCTTCGTATGTCGCGGGCGGGAGATTCATGTGATTGGTTGTTGGTCGCGTTGCTCGCAAAGAATCCCCAAGCTTCAGATACGCCCACCTCCAAGATTTTTTTAACGCTGCTGTGTGGACGCCGTGATAGAAAGCCCACTCGTTGATATGATACGTTTGCATGTTGATTTTATTATACGTTTTGTTCCTTAATGCTAGCGGTGATTTGCTCCGATATATGTGGGGGATTTTCATGTTTGCAATCCGGCGATTTCTTTACTGTTACGGTGGATATTAAGACTGTTGGGAAAATCCTGAATGTCCTCTTTCCCAACTGTAGCTGTGTACATGACAGGATGTATGATTACCTAGAAGAGCATCAGGACTGTTTGAGGCATATGATAGCTATGTGATTAACATGATGATTCAGCCTCTATGGAGATAGACATATGACAAGCATGCTCATTTCTGACGTGGAGCTAATCTGAAGTAAACATTGAATACTGCTTTCTATTCCTCCATCTTGTGACTGTGTAACTCCCTCTCTTGGATATCAGCATGTGAAGGACACTGTTCAGGAACTAGTTGATGCTCTGTATGTGATGACTACTTCCATTCTGGAGAGGATCACAGATACATGGATCCTGAGATTGAAGCTCAAGCCGGGGACGAGTGATTATTAACATTTTGAAGTATTCAGAAAAAGTCAGAATTTTTTGATTTTCAGAAGTCAGAATTTTTTAGAAAAAGTCAGAATTTAGAGAAAAAGTAAGAATTCTGAGAAAAAGTCATAATTCTGAGAAAAAGTCAGAATCTTGAGATTTTGAGAAAAAGTCAGAATTTTTGAGAAAAAGTCAGAATCTTGAGATTTTGTGAAAAAGTCATAATTTTGAGAAAAAGTCATAATTTTGTGAAAAAGTCATAATTTTTGAGAAAAAGCCACAATTTTTGAGAAAAAGTCAGAATTCTGAGAAAAAGTAAGAATTTAGAGAAAAAGTAAGAATTCTGAGAAAAAGTAAGAATTCTGAGAAAAAGTCAGAATCTTGAGATTTTAAGAAAAAGTCACAATTTTGAGAAAAAGTCATAATTTTGTGAAAAAGTCATAATTTTTGAGAAAAAGCCATATTTTTGGAGAAAAAGCCATAATTTTTGAGAAAAAGCCAGAATTTTTTAGAAAAAGTCAGAATTTTTGAGAAAAAGTCAGAATTCTGAGAAAAAGTCAGAATTTTACTCTGTAAAGCCTTTTGGGCTGCATCAAGCATGAAAGGGGCTATATAAATAAAGTTGATTATATTAATAACACCCTGTAATCCCACTTCCTGTCCAGATGCTGGAGGCTTTCCGCTGAGATATCGTTGCTTTATGTAGATATTTAGGCATCATATGAGAGCGATAGTTCAGAGCGTGCTCACCTGGACTTGCAGCTGCAGCTCTTTGTCCAGCAGCGCTCTCTTCTTCAGGATCTCCGCCTTCAGCTGCTCTTTGTGTTTGTACAGCAGCGCCGTCAGCTTGGAGGCGTTCTGTTTGGAGCGTTTCTGCTCCACCACCTCCTCCTTCTTCCTCTTCTTGGCCGCCTGCTTCTCGTCCTTCTCCATCTTGTCCAGAATGAACTTCATCACCTGGTTGCACACGATCATCCTGAAAACAAGAGGGGAGGCAGAGGCATTGGTGATCAGCTGGTGGAGGGAAACGCAGTGAAATATAACCCCTGAAATACACACTTTGTTTTACAATATATCAGGCTCTGAGCACCGTCAACGTGGGGTTTGAATCCAAAGAGTTTAATAATAATAATAATAATAATAATACATGTGATTTATATAGCGCTTTTCCTGGTGCTCAAAGCGCTTTACAAGCAAGTAAAGAAGGAAAATAACAACAAAAGTAAAAAGGGCTAAGCTAGGTGGAATAAGGGCGAGGGGTTAGTGGAGTAGGAGCAGGGTATAAGCAGGAATCCTGAAGTAAAATGTAAGACCTTTTAAGACCTTTTTTAAGACCCTTTCCATACATGTTAAGACCTCATCGCCACTTTGAGTTTTAACCGGTTACCTTGGCGACACACTTTACCTCACATTGACTATATACAGTATTGATTGTCCTTCCTCCTTATCTTCCAACCATTTGGACGCAGACTTGCATTTCCCCATAACCATGTTGTTTAACAACCGGCGTAAACGGAGCTCCACGCTATCAAGCAGTGAGCGTGCGATGTCCTGTTCAGATGACGTCAAATCCAACGGGATGCCATCAATAAACTACACAGAATCACACTATGTAGAATCGGAGGGATGAAACCCCACAGCAGACACAGTGAAATGTGTTCTCTGTATTTAACCCATCCCAGTACCAGGAGTCTACTAGGAGCAGTGGGCAGCTATTGTACAGCGCCCGGGGCGCAATGGGAGTGGGGGGGGAAGGGGGATGTCCGGTGCCTTGCTCAAGGGCACCACGGCAGGGCAGGAGGTGAACTGGGACCTCTCCAAGTAGCAGTCCATACTCCATATTTTGGTCTGTTCGGGGACTTGAACCGGCGACCCTACGGCTCCCAGTCCAAGCCCCTACTGACTGAGCCACTGCCACTACACACCTACGCAATGATTACATTCAGGCAGACTGTAGAATACCTCTTTGGACAATTTATATACTTATTGAAAACAAGCTACAAAATGTAACACCTTGGAAAATGCCGTTTAATACTTTTTAATAGCCTTAATTTTCGCTAAATTGATTTATCAACTTTTAATACTTTTTAAGACCCTGAGGAGTGAAAAGGTGAGTTTTGAGGGATTGTTTGAATGACGTTATGATCATTATTAATCCCTAAATGATATATTATTCATACTATATATGAATATATTGTACATACTTGTGCTTCAAGATACACATCTATTTTATTAAATAAAAAAACATGCCTCATTGTCCGTTTTTATATTTCTTTTTTACGTAAGGAAATAAAAAACAGTTGAAAAAATTAAAATATTAGTATATTTAGAAGAAAGGCAGTGAAAATACTACATTTGTAACACACTGCAACACACACTTTGTTTTACAATTGATCAGTTTCTGAGCACTGACAATGTGAGGTTGTAGGAGCCTATTGAAATCCAAAAAGATATGATTGTTATTATTCCCTAAGTTAATCATAGACTTGAGGGCCTAAAGGAGGAGGCGTGTGGCGCAGTGAGTTAGTGCGTTGGTGATCGGATCAGGGGGATCAGGGGAGCACAGGTTCAAACCCCACTGCAGTCAGCATGTCGTTGTGTCCCTGAGACACTTCACCCCAATTTGCTCCTGTGGGGATTGTCAAAGTCGCTTTGGATAAGAGCGTCTAACAAGTGACATGTAATGTGTTCAAATACTTGGTGAAAATGTTTGTTTCCAGTGCTTGCATGCATGGGCGCGGCAAAATGGCTCTACAGGAACGCAGCCCCTATAGTTGTGCATGTCCTACATGTATGAGATTTGGTGGGTGTGTGTAACATGTGGAGAGGACAACAAAACTATATTGGAGCGTGACTGTAAACCCAACAGGAAGTCGGGCACTTTGAGTTTTATGGCGTTTCTTGAACATTTTAGGGTGCAGCATCCTACAGATTTCATCCTATCGCCTTTAAAATGAGTCAGTTAGTCAGTATGATCTAATTGTGCTTTTCCACTGCAGGGCCTCGCACGGCTTAGTATGGTATAGTTAGGCCTTGGTAGGCCAGGCTCACTTTATGCTGCGTTTCCATTACAGTTTAGGAACTGGGGCAGTAACTATAGTAACGCAGTGTAGGCGGAGCCGTGACGTCATCTTCAATGCGAAACACAAAACCAACATCAGCCGTTAGCTGTTAGCACTCAGAGCTCACAGCTCCTCATATCTGTTCAGAAACTAGACAGAAGTTAAACAAGTACAAACCACAGACTGCCTGTGTCATGGAGAATACAGTCGCTGCTTTATTTATGTCTGTATAGGCCGTTGTTGTGAGTGTGGACGGTCGGAGCATATACTGCGTTAGCTTAGCCAAGCTCCATTTAGAAAACACGCATTTTAAAAGGTTTTTCGCCTGCCGTCTGTCTGCAGACTTGACAAAGCATTAATTCATGGTTTTTACTAACCGGTATCAGTATGTTGTTACTTCGGCATCATTTTGAAACGTGTATTACAATTAAATCACGGTCAAATATGTTCATTTTGTTGTAGTTGCCAGCGATTCTCTCACTAGTTTAGCATACTCAGCCCGGTTGTTGGCCCGGAAAGAACCTGGATGTTGGAGAGCCAGAAAACGGTGAAAAAGTACCCGCTAGCCGGAACTACGCCTAGTGGAAACGCAACCAAAAACGGGCCGGGCACGGCACGGCACGCTTAAACCGCGCTGTAGTGGAAATGCACCATAAATGTCCCCCTAAATTCTCCATCAAACATTACTGCAACTTCACTACTGTTATATGATTACTCACGTAATAACGCTGCTGCTTATTTTACCTTGCATATATACTTATTTGATTTGTATGTACTTGCCTCTTTATTTAATATTTGAGTCTATACTTTCTATAGTGTCGAACTGTTGCTGTAATAAAGTACATGCCCTCGCTGTGGGAGGAATAAAGTGTGTGTTCCTCATACCTCTGGTTCTCCTCTCTTTCGGCGGCAGCGAGGCTTTTCTTCTGCTTCAGCTGCTCGGCCGAGGAACTCTGCTTCACCACCACCGCCGCCTGACACACACACACACACACACACACACACACACACACACACACACACACACACACACACACACACACACACACACACACACACACACACACACACACACACACACACACACACACACACACACACACACACACACACACACACACACACACACACACACACACACCACACACACACACACACACACACACACACACACACACACACACACACACACACACACACACCACACACACACACACACACACACACACACACACACACACACACACACACACACACACACACACACACACACACACACACACACACACACACACACACACACACACACACACACACACACACACACAAAATAAAAAAAGTTAAAATTATATAATATTTAAAAAAAATTAAACTCATAAGTAAAAAAAATACAATTAATATAATTTTCTAGCTATTATTTTCTTTTACAGACTAAGTCATTATATCCCCATAAATGGTTATATTTATTAGAATAGCGGACCCTAATATATATAATTGCTATATTTATATATCAGTATTTATTCAGAAATGTCTCCATATTACCCGTCTTACTTTCTGTAAATATTAAAAATGTCTACCTCCTGTAAGAAACTGTAAATATTGTTAGTTGTTGTTTCCCACCTGTTTCTGGACCCCCTCCCCCGCCGGGCTCACAGCCTGCAGGTTCTGGTTCTGGTCCTTCTGCTTCCCCTCCTGCTGTTTCTTCTTCTTTGGTTTATGTGGGATCCTCTGCAGCTCCTGGACGCTCGCCGGCGCCTGGATGGTCACCAAGTTCTGGATCTGGTGGTTCTGGATCTGGTGGTTCTGAATCTGGTGGTTCTGGGTCGGCTGCTGCTGGATCTGTAGGTTCTGAATCTGGTGGTTCTGGGTCTGCTGCTGCTGGATCTGGATGGGCAGCTGCAGTTTGATCTGCTGCGGTACCGCTCCACCCTGCTGCTGGGCCTGGATCTGGATCTGGGCCTGGATCTGAGCCGCCACGTGGGGGGGAAGAGCGGAGAGGAGCTGCACCGGCTGCTGGAGGCCCGGTACTGTGATCAGCTGGTGCCTGAGGGGGGACTGGACTTGCACCTGGGTCTGGTTCTGAGGCTGGAACTGGACCTGGGTCTGGTTCTGAGGCTGGAACTGGACCTGGAGCTTTGCTTGGACTTGAGGTTGGGCTTGGATCTGAATCTGCTGCTGCTGGACCTGGTTCTGCTGCGGGGACTGGACTTGGAACTGGGTTTGGATTTGAGTTTGGACCTGGGGTTGCTGCTGCTGCTGGACTTGGAACTGGGTTTGGATTTGAGTTTGGACCTGTGGTTGCTGCTGCTGCTGCTGGACTTGGAACTGGGTTTGGATTTGAGTTTGGACCTGGGGTTGCTGCTGAACCTGGCTCTGTTGCTGGAACTGGATCTGAACCTGGGGATGGAGCTGGTTCTGGGCCTGAGTTTGGACCTGCTGCTGTTGAGCCTGGGGTTGAAACGAAGCCTGTATCTGCGGGTGGTACTGAGGCTGGACCCGGGTCTGGACCTGGGGCTGAAACTGGACCTGAGGCTGGAGGTTCTGCGTCTGCGTTTGAGGCGTGAACTGAACCCGGACCTGGCTGTGGTTCTGGGCTTGTGCTTGGGCCTGAATGTGTTGCACTTGGGCGAACGGTTGGACCTGGATCTGGGCCCTGATCTGGTTCTGGATCTGGTTCTGGCGCTGGGGGGAGAGAGGAGTCTGGATCTGGATCTGGTTCTGGCGCTGGGGGGAGAGAGGAGTCTGGATCTGAGGCTGTGAGGGTCTGACAGCAGGGAGGCCCATGTGGACCTGAACCGCTGAGAGGGGGATCTGAGAGACTGGGATCTGAGAGAGCTGCTGCACTGAGACCACAGCAGGGAGTCCTGGGGGAGGGGGCTGAGACAGGGCGGGGGCGGGGAGGTTCTGAGGCTGATGGACCAGGGTCTGAGACAAGGTCGGGGTCCAGACCTGGTGCTGAGCCGTCCTAAGATCCGCCAGAGCTGCAGCAGGAAGGGGAAGAGAAGCATCAACAGACACATGAGTAAACACAGCAGCTTTCAAAGGCCGTGTAATCCTGATGTACTGAAGTGCTGTATGAACACATTTGACATTATTTTTTTCACTACTTTTTACTAAAGATTACAGTTTTGTATATAAGTGTATATTTTTTGGTATATTGTATCTTATTTTTAAAATACATTTCTCCAAAATTTACACTTTTTATTAAAATATTTCGTACATTTTTTTTAATTTAATTTTCTTCAGATTTTCATTTTGTATTAACACATTGTATATAACTTGTTTGAATTATTTAAACATTTTTAACTGTTTATTTCAATTATTTTAACTTTTAAATTGTTTTATTTAACTAGATTTTCTCGTACATTAGGATGCATAATTCTAATGTCAAAGATAAAAACACAGTTTGCTCTGGATGTGTGTTTCTCGTGTTCCTTACCTGGCACTGAGGGTGTTGTAGCGGTGGCGGTGACGGGGGTGACCACAGCAGCATGAAGAGGAACATGAAGGGGGATCTGGATCTGAGTCAGACCCCCTGGGGAGGGGGCTAAAATCTGTGTGGAAACAACACCTAAAACTGGGGAGGAAATGGGGGCGAGAGCTGGGGTCGGGACTCTGACCGGAGAGGGAAGAGAGGCGGACGCTGGGATCTGAAGCGAGTTTGTAGATACAGCCATTTGGGGGGAGGTTTTGATTAAAGTCGGGGCTAAAGAAGGGGCGGGGCTTAACACATGTGTCTGGATGTGGGGTGCAACTTGTCCCGGGACAGGGAGCGAAACTGCAGTTTGTGCAGGGAAAACCCCCGAAGAGAGGGTGGAGATTTGAGTCATTGCTGGGGAGGGAATAGGGTGGGGGAGGGAAGTGGGTGAGGATATCTGAGACGCCATTTTGTTCTGCATGGGAGCCAAACTCGGCATTTGTGTCGGGACAGGAAGAGGGGCGACCATTTTTGTTTGTGTCAGGGACGAGGGGGTGGTTTGGCTTTGAGGCGGCATTTGAGGGGTGGTAGTGGGTGAGGATGATGGGGGGACGGGGGTGAAGAGGAACCGCTGCACCTGGCCGTTGGGCATGGCCGCCTGCATGAGCTGCTGCCCGGGGCTGGGGACCACCGTCACCCCCTGGGGGAGGATCTGTAACTGCCCCTGGGTCTGCCCCTGACCCTGGATCACCACCGTCAGACCAGGGTTCCCCCCCTAAAGAGGAGAGAGGGAGAGAGATGCATTTAACTTAGAAATCCAAGGGAGAGAAGAAGAAGTTTGAGTTGATGCGATAGACGTGTGTCTCACCTGAGCGCCCTGTGTGAGCTGCAAGAGTTGAGCCATGGTGAGTTTAACCTGACCCTGCTGGGGTCTGCTGGGCTGGGGGGGGGCAGGCGTCTGTCCGGGGGTTGGGGGGGCCGGACCTGCTGCTCTCTGAGGGGTCTGCAGGGGGGCGGAGCCAGTCTGCTGAGGCTGGCCTGGAGGAGAGGAGGGAGAATGTTTTATTAACCCTACAAAGCTAAAGGAGGCTAATGTTGGGCTATAAAGGAAAGACAGCACGGTCACATGACTTCACGTCACCACCGCTAAGCTAAAGGTGGCTAATGTTGGGCTATAAAGGAACTACAGCACGGTCACATGACTTCATGTTATCACCGCTAAGCTAAAGGTGGCTAATGTTGGGCTATAAAGGAACTACAGCACGGTCACATGACTTCACGTTATCACCGCTAAGCTAAAGGTGGCTAATGTTGGGCTATAAAGGAACTACAGCACGGTCACATGACTTCACGTTATCACCGCTAAGCTAAAGGTGGCTAATATTGGGCTATAAAGGAACTACAGCACGGTCACATGACTTCACGTCACCACCGCTAAGCTAAAGGCGGCTAATGTTGGGCTATAAAGGAACTACAGCACGGTCACATGACTTCACATCACCACCGCTAAGCTAAAGGTGGCTAATGTTGGGCTATAAAGGAACTACAGCACGGTCACATGACTTCACGTCACCACCGCTAAGCTAAAGGTGGCTAATGTTGGGCTATAAAGGAACTACAGCACGGTCACATGACTTCACGTCACCACCGCTAAGCTAAAGGCGGCTAATGTTGGGCTATAAAGGAACTACAGCACAGTCACATGACTTCACGTCACCACCGCTAAGCTAAAGGAGGCTAATGTTGGGCTATAAAGGAACTACAGCTTATGCTAAACCACCTAAATCAAAATTTGAATAAATGTGGGAAACCTCATTACAACATACATTTAAATTAATTTAGCAATACATGATTCATCCTTCTTTTTACCCTGATTAATGCCTTCTGTAAGACAGTGTTTTTTATCAGTAAATATATGCATTTTCTTGCATTAAACAGTGAGAAGCAAATACAAGACTGTGTTGCAACATGGTCTAAGGCATGAGCCACGAAGACCTTAATTTTCTAATAGATATTATAGTGTGAAAGATCACCTTGCTGAGCCAACGCTGGACTCCTGAGCATCGCTGCGCCCGCAGCCGTAGCTGGTGAAGGTGTGGTGCCGGATTGGATTTGACCTACTGTTGTGACTGTCTGAAACACAAAGCCATAAAGATAAAATCTTCAATTATCATGCTTAATATTTCTGAAACTGAAAAGGACATGGAGAAAGAAACAGACCTGCTGCGGGGTGGTTGTTGTGGAGTTGGAGGCTCTGATGTTCATGTTTCCAGTCGTTGGATGTAATGTGCTATAAGTCCTCAAGTTAGCAGGGGGTCCAGAGGGGAAGATGCCCAGGGCCTTCTGCTGCACGACACCTGTGGATAAGAGAAACATTTAATAAGTGAAAGAAGCAAATATGCATTGGGTGATACAGGTCGAGGATGCACAGAAGCAGCGAGGCATGCACTGTGTGCGGGGAAGAGCGCGAAATCAACTAAAAAAAGCTTGATTTAATCGGGTAACGGTAGATTAAAAACAACACTTAGAAACACGTTAAGACAAAAATCCAATTCCAATAGAGTGGTGCAGGAGTCCTTATCCCAGAAATGAGAGTCATCATGTCCCTGGTCTGGAAGTCAATGGTTTTTTGAATGTGTTTTTGGTTGTTAGTCTGAAATCAGGTCTGTGGTTAACACGAGCTGAAGAGATTTGTATTCTACGACATAAAATACGTCAGTAAATACCCCACTGGTGGAGGTTGCTAACACGTGTCTAAATGAGACGACTAAACGTCATCACACCCAACATTAGCCACCTTTAGCTTAGCGGTGGTGACGTGAAGTCATGTGACCGTGCTGTAGTTCCTTTATAGCCCAACATTAGCCACCTTTAGCTTAGCGGTGGTGACGTGAAGTCATGTGACCGTGCTGTAGTTCCTTTATAGCCCAACATTAGCCGCCTTTAGCTTAGCGGTGGTGACGTGAAGTCATGTGACCGTGCTGTAGTTCCTTTATAGCCTAACATTAGCCTCCTTTAGCTTAGCGGTGGTGACGTGAAGTCATGTGACCGTGCTGTAGTTCCTTTATAGCCTAACATTAGCCACCTTTAGCTTAGCGGTGGTGACGTGAAGTCATGTGACCGGGCTGTAGTTCCTTTATAGCCTAACATTAGCCACCTTTAGCTTAGCGGTGGTGACGTGAAGTCATGTGACCGTGCTGTAGTTCCTTTATAGCCCAACATTAGCTTTTTACTTGAGAAATCATGAAGTGGTGTTAATATGTGGAGATTATCCTGCTGAACAAAATGTCTAAGTATCATAAACGTTTGTTTGACACAGAGATTATGTTCTGTAATAATCCAAAAACACATGGAGGAATCCCATTAAACCAGGGAGATGCTAACTTCCGGATCATCCTACAGAAATAAGTCACCCCCGCACCACTCTATAGATTTTGCCTCTTCCACGACTTCCATCTCCATCCATTTTGGCAAGTGTTGGCACAAACCAGCGGAAATGGATGACCCCGTGCTCGTTACCTCCTTGAGTGGTGGGCATGTTGAGCGTGACAATCTTGCTGTTAGCGGGGATCGGGAGTTTGGCGGCGAGCATCGGGCCCGCAACCGTCACGGAGAAGCTTTGCTCTGATTTGATGCTGGTGGTGGAAGCTGCAACACACAGCAAGCCACCTGCTGTCACGCTAACCGAACAGGGCCACGAGAGCCAGCGTTCGGCTGTTTCAAGTTTCAAGGCTTTATAGTCATTAGCACATTAGCTACAGTGTAGATATGGCAATGAAAAACTTAGGTCCTCCAACAGTGCAACATATATATAGGACATAGAACAAATAAAACGGATGTGTGGAGGTACATAATACCGTGTCTGCTCGGGGATTTGAACCAGGGACCATCTGACTCCCAAGCAAAGACCTTACAGACTGAGCTAATGACGCCCAAAAAGTGACGATGGAAAAGGGATCGCAATGATTAACGTCCTACAATCTGATACGCAATGAAAATGAAGGGAAAACTAAAGAAAAATCTCTCAAAGTCGTTGAAAAAGAGTAAAAAAAATGATAAGAAAAAGGCCTGCTCCTAACAACACATGATGGATGAGACGATGCACAACTATATCTGATTTGAGATGTTGAAGTGAAGTTATTTTGTTGATCGCTGTGCTTTTATTGATGTCTTAATGTGTGTATATGTATAAGTGTGTCTGTTGATTGTGTATATATATATAGTAAGGCTGCTCAATTAATCGTATTTTAATCGCAATTACGATTTTGGCTTGCAACGATTATGAAAACAACATAATCGAAATAAAACGATTATTTCTTCTTCTTTGTTTTTGTTGAATTATACTTAAAGTTCAGGGTAATCAACTGTTAAAAACATACTGTCAATTATTGACCAAAATAATCGAGATTATGATTTTTGCCATAATCGAGCAGCCCTAATATATAGGTCAGTGTTTCTCAAACTTTTTCATACCAACTCCCCAAATATCCCAAAACACATTGTTTTTCTAGAACAGATTACAAATCGCCTGAAAATGGTCCAAACAAGTGGCAACATGTGTGACGAAGGTGTTGCGCTGGGCTATATCATGCAATCGAAAATGAAACTTAAGCTCGCTCCATTGCAGAGATATTCCCGCGAGAGTGCGGAAAACTTAAATAATTAATAATATTTCAAATGTGAAATTTTACCAATATACTCACGGACCACTAGGGGGCGCTCGCGGACCACACTTTGAGAAGCACTGATATAGGTATATACATATTTTTATATACATCTGTATTCGGGATTGTGGAAAACGCAAAGGAATCTAAAGGGATAGGAAAGGAATCAAAAGGGATAGGAAAGGAATCTAAAGGGATAGGAAAGGAATCTAAAGGGATAGGAAAGGAATCAAAAGGGATAGGAAAGGAATCTAAAGGGATAGGAAAGGAATCTAAAAGGGATAGGAAAGGAATCTAAAGGGATAGGAAAGGAATCTAAAGGGATAGGAAAGGAATCTAAAGGGATAGGAAAGGAATCTAAAGGGATAGGACTCATCTCACCTGGGCTGCCGTTGTTCTGGCCCTGCTTCACCCAGGAGGCGAAGGACTGGTGGAAGTTCTTGTCCTGCTGGAAGGACACCGGAGAACCCAGTTTGTTGGCCAGAACCATCTTAGCCCCCGAGGTCACCTGACCCGGTCTGTGTGTGGTGGAGGAGGGAGAGGGGGAGGGAGAGGGAGAGGAAGAGGAGGGAGGCGTGGCAGGGGGTCCCGGTCTCAGTGGTTCCAGACGTTTCTGTAACAAGATGGTGGAACATTTAGGAAATATATATAGAGATGGGGAAGGGAACAGAACAAGAGAATAGAGGAAGAATGAATAGGAAAGGTTATAAAGGAATAAGGAAAACATCTAGGAATATAAAGGAATAGGAGACTACTAGGAAAGGAACAATAAAGGATTAGGAAAGGAATCTAAAGGGATAGGAGACTACTAGGAAAGGAACAATAAAGGATTAGGAAAGGAATCTAAAGGGATAGGAAAGGAATCTAAAGGAATAGGAAAGGGATCTGAAGGGATAGGAAAGGAATCTAAAGGAATAGGAAAGGGATCTGAAGGGTTAGGAAAGGAATCTAAAGGGATAGGAAAGGAATCTAAAGGGATAGGAAAGGATTAGGAAAGGAATCTAAAGGGATATCCACCAGAAGAATTGAACATGGTGTTAGTGTGTGGTGTGACGTGTGTCTGTCTGTCTTTCTGTGTGTGTGTGTGTGTGTGTGTGTGTGTGTGTGTGTGTGTGTTCTGTCTGTGTGTGTCTGTCTGTCTATGTGTGTGTGTGTGTGTGTGTGTGTCTGTCTGTGTCTGTGTCTGTGTGTGTGTGTGTGTGTCTGTCTGTCTATGTGTGTGTCTGTGTGTGTGTGTGCTGTCGTCCTTTCTAATGTGTGTTCTTGTCTGTGTCTTTGTGTGTGTGTGTGTGTGTGTGTGTGTGTGTGTGTGTGTGTGTGTGTGTGTGTGTGTGTGTGTGTGTGTGTGTGTGTGTGTGTGAGTCTGTCTGTGTGTCTGTGTGTCTGTCAGTCTGCCCACCTGCTGTGCAGCCAGTCTGGCTTGTTTCAGCTGGTTCTCCAGATGAGCTTTGACCTCCTCGGCTGTCTTCAGAGTGCTGCTCTTAGAGGAGTCGACGCCCTGAGTCTTCTCCCTCTCCAGCCTGCGATAAGAAGAAACAAATTATTGATCAGTGATAAACAGAGTTCCTCAAGACAACAATCAGGATGGGAGGAAGTTCCCTCACCTCTCAGCGAAGGCCCTGATCTCCCACAGCTCCATCTCCTCTTCAGGGACCCACGTCTCCACAGCCACAGGACCAGTGGGCTTCAGAGGTTCGTGTTTCTTGGGTCTCAAAGCGCTGGACCGAAGACCCTTCCTCTGGGGAGTCGGGGTTTCTATTCGGGGAGATAAGAGAGACACACTTCATTAATTATAACTTTAAAAAAATGGCGAAACTCATTTGAACATTTGAAACTTAAGCTCGCTCCATTGCGGAGATATTCCCGCGAGAGTGCGGAAAACTTAAATATATGAATTTATTTCAAATGTGAAATGTTACCAATATACTCACGGACCACTAGGGGGCGCTCGTGGACCACACTTTGAGAAGCACTGATATAGGTATATACATATTTTTATATATATATTAGTATTTTTGTATTCGGGATTGTGGGAAACGCAAAGGAATCAAAGGGATAGGAAAGGAATCTAAAGGGAACGGCATCTAAAGGGATAGGAAAGGAATCTAAAGGGAGAAAGGAATCTAAAGGGATAGGAAAGGAATCAAAAGGGATAGGAAAGGAATCTAAAGGGATAGGAAAGGAATCTAAAGGGATAGGAAAGGAATCTAAAGGGATAGGAAAGGAATCTAAAGGGATAGGAAAGGAATCTAAAGGGATAGGAAAGGAATCTAAAGGGATAGGAAAGGAATCTAAAGGGATAGGAAAGGAATCTAAAGGGATAGGAAAGGAATCTAAAGGGATAGGAAAGGAATCTAAAGGGAGAAAGGAATCTAAAGGGATAGGAAAGGAATCTAAAGGGAGAAAGGAATCTAAAGGGATAGGAAAGGAATCTAAAGGGATAGGAAAGGAATCTAAAGGGATAGGAAAGGCATCTAAAGGGATAGGAAAGGAATCTAAAGGGATAGGAAAGGCATCTAAAGGGATAGGAAAGGAATCTAAAGGGATAGGAAAGGAATCTAAAGGGATAGGAAAGGCATCTAAAGGGATAGGAAAGGAATCTAAAGGGATAGGAAAGGAATCAAAAGGGAAAGGCATCTAAAGGTTTAGGAAAGGAATCTAAAGGGATAGGAAAGGAATCTAAAGGGATAGGAAAGGAATCTAAAAAAGGGACACTTTTTTTAAAGCAGTGAAGTTGAAAGTCTAAAAACCGACAAATTTGATCTTCTTCTCTGCACACTTATGAAAATATATTTAACAATTAAATGATGTATACATGTCCATTCAAATGACCAACGTTTTATTTAATAAAAAGTAATTAATCTTGGTCAGCAGGCGATCAAAGTGTCTTTTTAAAGCAGTGACATTGTTGTTATTGAAAGGCTAAAAACCAACACATTTTAATTCAAACAGAGCATTTTGTTCACTAAAAACAACTTTTTGAGGACAATGAGAAGGGGAGGGTTTCGGTGTATACTGTTCCCTTATTGCAAATGTTTACTACTCCCTGTAACTGCAAGTCTATTTCATTGCAACTGGTGAGATGTTCTCAACTGTCTGAAAGAATTGTAAAAACAAAAACCTGTTACTTTATCACTTTTTACTTTGTATTATTATGTTTATTTGTGTCTCAAAGAACTGGAGCGAAGACCCTTCCTCTGGGGAGTGGGGGTTTCTATATAAGAGAGACAGACTTCATTCATTATAACTTTTTAAAAAATGGAGCGCTTGAAGCCTCCACACGATTTATCCATTAAGCCAGTGGTTCCCAAACCTTTTCAGTCGGGCCCCCCTTGGGTAATTGGAATTATTTTCGGGCCCCCCCAACCCGGTTCCCATCTATATTGATAGGATTAATTGTATATTGTTGTAAAAACATTACATTTTCTCTGCTAATAATAAGAAGATACAAAGATCCAACTATCATTTTATATTTTATTATGGATTACACATGAACTAAAGTGCTTGTAATAGATACTGTGAATTCATTTGGCCTAATTAAAACTAGTAGGCCTTCTTCCCTGAGTAGTAGATTTTTTAATTCGAATTTCTTTAAAGGTAGGGTATGTAAGTTTGAGAAACCGGCTCGAGATACACTTTTTGTTATATTCCATGGAATGCTCTTAACATCCCGATAGCAATGAATATCTTAAAGTGGACCTATCATGCTATATTTGAATAATATAGTGTAGGACCATAAGGCATAAGGCATATTTATACTTTTTGTTTTTCAAAATACCAAACAGATCATGCATTTTAGCCATGCCTCATTTTGCTCAATTTGACAATTTCTAGCTCTGTTTTAGCAAGGGCTGATTCTGTGAGAACAGCACCATCTACAGGCCTGGCATATGTACTACAGCGTCTCCAGCGCTTTCGAACGGCAATGGCCGTGGCTGTCTCCTCCTGATTGGTGGAGTTGGCCCAATAGCCGTAGCGCCACCGTCCTGACGTCAGGACAGTGTTCAAATCTGGATCAGTTTTTATCAGATCCATTGCAGCCCCTTTTTTAGAGATTTGGGTATGGAGGAAAATAGAGAGGGTTGTGTTTTCTGACACTTGGTGAGTTCCCTGGAACACCGGGGACACATATTCATGTATAAAAGACGTACAAAAGTGCATTTTGCATGATAGGTCCCCTTTAAGTGCTTTGACGAAAAACCCATAAAGAAATGTCCTCTGTGGAAGCCGTAATACTGTAAAAAGCACGACCAATAATTCACATCACTATACCATTCCTATTCCACACATAGCCTATCAATGACTTGTGTGTGCCTGCTTTCCCTTGCAGATCTTCTCAAACCAGGGCTATTGTTTTGAGACTGCCACTCTCAGTTCATTCTCAATGTTCAGCTTTGATCTGTATTTGGTTTTGATGGCAGCAACAGCAGAAAAGCTCACACAAGTAGGATGTTGCAAAAGGCAGCAGTATGCCCACAGCTCTCTGACCAATGAGATATTTTCGAGCAGTGTTTACAATTTCTTCCCTCGCCCCGCCTGCAGTACCTCCGCGACCCACCAGGGCAAAACAGGATGATGTGAGTGTGTGAGTCATTGAAAAGTCGGCTCTGATTCCTTTTTCTCTCCCTTTTTTGAGTTTGCATATGTAATTTGACACGACTTGTTGCCACTTGAGTTGTTGTTGCCTAACCCTGGGAGGGTGGGGTTTTTATTTTATTTTTTTGTTTTGTAAGGGAACTGTTTGCATGTTCTTTCACGTGGTATGTATGTGTTTTGTACCATGTTTTTCTGTTTAAATAAATAACAAATGGCAAAACTCAACAGTAAGTAATCTTGGTCAGCAGGAGATAGACGTGTATTTTTAAAGCATAAGTTCCATCTCATCTTATCTGATATTAAGCGGTCACCTTTGGGGGCGTCTCTGTTTCCCAGCGGGCAGATGATCTTCCGGATGCAGTACTCTGATCGGATCCCGTACGGACCCACGTCTCTGCGCTTTATGATCTCTGTGGTGGTGATGTCCGTCTCCGAGGTCTCTGTGGACACAACATCAGCATAAGTATTTTAATACAAGCATTCAGTCAAGAAATTGAGTTTTTCTTTCAGGCTTTTAGTGCATTTTACTACTTTAAAAAAGGACCTAATGATTCTAATCAGAATCAGAATACCTTTATTAGTCCCACAGAGGGGACATTTATATTGGCTATTAAAGAGTTCATACTGGGTAGTTTATTTAGTTAATAAGTATCCGCTGATTTACAGACGTCTCTTTCCCGATGTTAGTCAATGGGAAAAAGTCTTTCTGGGCCCAGTGACGTCACGGACTGATACGGAAGTTGCAGTACCGCCGTTTGGACACTATGAATTTTGCGCACAGAGTCCGGCGCACTTCGTGGGGGCTTGGTTAGTGTGTGCAGAGTTGGGAAGTAGTGGAGTACAAATACTTTGTTACTGTACTTGAGTACATGTTTCTGGTATCAGTACTTTACTCCACTAATTATTTTTCTGACCACTTTTTACTTTCTACTTCTTACATGTTGAACACTAATACCTGTACTTTCTACTTCTTACATGTTGAACTCAAATACCTGTACTTTCTACTTCTTACATGTTGAACACAAATACCTGTACTTTCTACTTCTTACATGTTGAACACAAATACCTGTACTTTCTACTTCTTACACTTTGAACACAAATACCTGTACTTTCTACTTCTTACATGTTGAACACAAATACCTGTACTTTCTACTTCTTACATGTTGAACCCAAATACCTGTACTTTCTACTTCTCACATTTCCCAAACAGGCTGGTTCCTTTAGTTTGAATGTGTGTTTGGTGGCGTGATCATTATTATTTAGAGTCATTGCGTGCCTATTGATTTGAACACGATCCGTGTATCCATCATTTCCTGGTCTTCTCTAAAGAAGAGGGACCAATGAAAACGTTGTCATGTTGCCGTTGTTCAGCATGGAAACATTCATTAGCTAACAATGACATTATTGTTCTATTAATATAAAGGGAGGTCAGGTACTCTTTAAAACAGCTGCTAGTTATGGGTACTTTTTACTGAAGTACATTTCAAAGCCCTCTTTACTTTGACTTGAGGAAAGAAGTTTAGTCAGTACTTCTACTTTCACCAGAGTATTTTTAAACACGAGTATCTGTACTTCTACTCGAGTAAAGGATGTGTGTACTTTTGCCCTCTCTGAGTGTTTGTGATGTCTCCTCACCTTTGCGTGTGGTCCCTACGGCTGCAGACGGCTTCACGGACATGTCGTCCCAGCGCAGGCAGCTCCAGAGCAGCCGGAGCATCAGACTGACGCCGGCCAGAGAGCGCACGGTCTGCAGACGGTACCTGAAGGGGGCGCAGGGACACATTAGATACTGATGACAGCTACAGGAAGTATGTTTACACAGCCTTTTCAATGTTATACGAACGTTATAATGAAAACATCTGCAGTTTCTTCAATGAGAACTCTCCTTTCTTTCCAAAAGCTTCCATATCATGTGACCCAATAACTCAAAAGTCTGTGTTACGTACCTCCACGTGATCCCAAAAGTGGGCCGAGGCGAGGGGTACGGCCAGATATCCAGGGCTGGTTTAGCGTTGTAGTTGAAGATGGGAACCTCTCTGATGCCCGCTCTCCTCGCCATCCTCTTCAGGTCGTCGTTGGGCAGAATAAAGATGCTCTTCTTGCTGCTCTTGGTGACGAACTTCCTGTATGACGGCAGCGCGGTACCCGAACGCGCCTTCCTGGATTTGTAGAACCGCAGGAGGCTGACCCGGTCTTTCGTAGAGTATTCTTTACTGATCGTCATGGAGCTGGAAGTGGACGTCTTTGTGTCTTGAAGTTTGGTTTTCTGCGGGACGACGGCTCTGGAGGAAACTGAGGAGACGACGCCACTTCCTGTTTGAGACAAGTCTGTTTTCGGGGCGTTTAGAGCTTCTGTTGTGGCGCTCTTCAAACCTTCAGTACTTGTATTATTCACGAGAGCAGGGGTTGATGATGTTAGCTTAGCAGGCTCACTATCCAACGCCAAAGAGTCTCCTTTCTCCGCCACGTGGTTCTCCAGTTTCGGGACTTTCAGAGGAGGTTGGTGACTCGCGTCGGACACGTCGCTTTTCTGCGAGAGGTTCCCGTTCATTAGAGACTTCACGGGCTCTTTGATGTCACCTTGAGCTGGTTCTGAGGTCATTTCTACAGGAACGCCACCCTCAGTTTTCCCGTTAACCTGCACTTCAGTCTTCTTACTGTCCTCTACCTCCATGCTCTGTTCACCAGCTTTCTCCATTTCCTCAAACACACGTTTTCCCGCTCGAGCCACTTCCGTCTTTTTCTCCATAGCGTCCGATAAACAGTTGTTTTTACCGCTAGACTCGGTGGTTGACGGCGTTTCTCCGTTCACTTCTTTGTGCAGATCATTCACCTCCATCTGTTTGGGTGCTTCAGCGTCAGATTTGACATCGACGTCTGGTTTGATCTGCTCCTGTTCAAAGTCGAGCTTCTTCACCACGTTGTCTTTCACAGGAACGCCTTCTGCTTGCTCTTTTTTGACACACGGGGTGACGGCCGGCGGCTGTTTGCTCTCCGTTTTAACTCCAGGCTTCATGGCGGCTATTTTTGCCAGAAGTGCCGCTTGTCTCATTCTCTCCAGTCTCTGCTTCTCCTCCAGAGTGAACTGTTTGACCCGACGCTCCAGAAGACCGTCCAGTTTGGAGGGCTTCACCTTCTTCTTGTAAGCCGTCCTCAGCTGGAAGCCCTCGCTGACGTTCACAACGTCGGCGAAGAGCTTCGAGGTGGCCGCGTCTTCCTTCTTGGGTTCAACTCTCTGGATTGGTTCTTCCATCGGAGGCTGAAGAGAAGGCGAGGAAGGGTCTTTGTTTTCAGCTTCATCTAGAGAAAAGAGAGTCACAGAGGTCAGAGGATGATGGGAACATGTGGTCGTACACAGATAGCATCATTCGCTGTTGGCGAGGTGGCAGCAGCGCCCTGTGTCTGCAGAGTTTATAGATTTCTTTATCTTCTACTGTATATTTTCCACTTTATTTCTATTTTGAGATGTTTAAATTATAGTATTGTTTATTTTGACTCTTTGATTTCTACTTATCTGCAATGCCTTGTTTAGTTTTGTTGTTTTTTAAGCTTCTGCAACGCAAGCATTTCCCAATTTGGGATCAATAAAGTAGCTCTGATCTGATCTTATCAAGAGACATTGTGAATTGTTGATGAATTAACTCGTACAAAACACTATGTTTGTGTTTATGTTATTGTATTGCTGGGAGAATGTATTTGTTCGTGGCCCCTCTGAGGCCATATGGTGCTTTGTGTACCTTACATGTTTGTGTTGTGATTGTCGTAGACTTGTCTATGTTTGTATTGTGATTTGATTTTGTCTTGTTTTTGTTTACTTTTGAATGTCTTGCTGTTAGTACTTTATGATCACAAGTTGTTTATGCTCAATAAATACATTTCAGTCAAACCCAAAAGAAGAGACCTTTCGTTTCATATCTTTTTGTGAATTGTACTTGCTGTTGATTGATCAATACGTAGAAATCACTATGTTTGTATTTATATAATTGTATTGCTGGGAAACATGTATTTGTTTGTGGCCCTTCTCTGTGGCCATTTAGTGCTTCTGTCCACATTTCTATCTCACATTTTCGTATTGATTTTGTCAATTTCTCTTCTTGTCGTTTACTTTTTAATGTCTTGCTGTTAGTACCCAGTGTTTCCCACAGAATGTTCTATTTGTGGGGGCACCGCACCGCGTGAGTGAGACACACCGGAGTTGAGGATCTGTGGGGTCTATTCTCCCAAAAATACAATTTACAATTTAGGCATTTATCAGACGCCTTATTCCAAAGCGACTTACAATGACCAATCACAGGGACGTCCTCCCTGGAGTAACTGAGGGTGCCTTACTCAAGGGCACACTAGTGGTGGTGTTCCAGGCGGGATTTGAACTCGCAACCTTCCGATCATCAGCCCACCTCACTATCCATTAGACCAGGGGTTCCCCCCGGGGTGTCGCGAGACCCCGAGTGGGGGTCGCGAGATGATTACAAAATACAATTTGAAAATGAATTAATTTCTTTTATCAATTTAATTTTTTTTTTATTATTAATAATAATACCGTGTGCATAGACATTTTTCAGGGGCGGACTGGCCATCTGTATAATTTCCCCGCAGTGAGGCACCCCCCTTTGACAATCCACTAGCGCAGTGTTTCTCAAACTTTTTCATACCAAGGACACTTAACCATAAAAAAAACACTCACGGACACCTGACTCCACAGATATCCAAAAACAATAGGCCTGCTCACCACTCCAACAGTTTATAACAAAGTACAGCCTAATAATGACAGCTTAACTTCTCTACATCGCCTCGTTCACACATTAAATCAACAATACAAATACAACTACAGATTATATAAGCATTTAGTTCAAATGTGATTTAAAATGCTCTCAGGTTTTACACCTCTTATGAAATGTAGACTACATTTATTACGGAGTTTATGTCCAACAGACTCACAGATCGTTGGCTACTGAGAGAAATGCTAAACACACCGCATGTAGTACGACACAAACCTCCGCTGTGGATTTTCAAAACAAAATACAGTAAAACTATGGTCGCAGGCCCAAGTTTAACTCTCTGAGGCCTGCATGGACTGCCCCAACAACAGCCTCTGATCATCAACAGACTTCATGCAATGCTTCATCGGATGCATATATTAGATAATAATCTCTATCTCACTCCTAAAACATCTAAATCTACTTCCAGCATGGATACATGTTCATAAAAGACATCCAATGTTTGTTCTATATGCTTCTTGAAATCTAAAAAAACACATCGTTTTTCTAGAACAGATTACAAATCGCCTGGAAATGGTCCAAACAAGTGGCAACATGTGAGACGAAGGTGTTGCTCTGGGCTATATCATGCAATCGAAAGTGAAACTTAAACTCGCTCCATTGGGGAGATATTCCCGCGAGAGTGCCACAGGGGTCACCAGTCTCTTGCACTGTTATTTTGGGGGTCGCGGGCTGAAAGGTTTGGGAACCCCTGCATTAGACCAGCAAAATAAAAATAAAAAACAATATTTAATTGTGACGGCCCGCCACAAATAAATCAATGTATGGGAAACACTGAGTACCATATATAAGGATCCTCTTGATGGTTCATCTCAAGGAGTGAAGAAAAAAGACAATTTATTTGATAGATATTCACCTTTCTCCACCGTTGAAGCAGCAGTTTCTGGGCGGGGGTCGACCTCCATTTTCTCCTCTTCTCTCTTCTTCTCTCCTTCAGTCTTTGACCCTTCCTCCTCTGCAGGTGTGTCCTCCTCTCTGGAGACCTGAGGCGTGGCGTTGTCCTCTGATGACGCAGCGATGGATTCACTGACCCCCTCCGATGTGTTTGCAGTCGTCTCCTTCTCGGTTTCAGTCGTCTTTTTCTGCTTATTAGTGCAAGCTGCTGCATTTTCCTTCTTCATTTTAGCTAAGAAGAGAGTGGAGGAAATCACAATGTGAGCTCACAGAGCCAGAAGGAGGAGATGAAATGATGGAAATGTTGCTCGTTCAGCTCTTACCCTCCAGGTCTTTGCGGTAGTTGACGTTTGTGTTGCCGGGCAGCTTTGGGACGAACCTCGGCACGTGAGTCTTACTGACCCAACTCCACCCACCCCACCCCGTCACTCTGTACTCCTCACCCTTCTGCTTCCACACCTGCACAGAAAGCACAAGAGAGGAACAACATGAAGACGCTTACATTGTTATAAAGTAAACATTTGTGCTAGGAATGGGAATTTGAAAGCAAATGTATATTCGAATATTCGACCCCCAAAAAAACGGTTAACTGATTAACCGAAATGTACATATCCTATAAAACAAACCAAGTCGAATTAGTCACATGTATTGAACTGGTGATCACAGTTTGAACAGTTGACAGCTATAGGCCTACAGCTTTCATGCTTAAAACATAACTTGGTTTTTAAGTTAAAGAGGGATCATACAGGAACAACATAACGGGTTAGGGTAACGTAACCCTATCACAACAGAGATCAACAACCTGTAACAGGGCCTCTGCACAGAATGCAGCTATTCAATACTCATTCTTGTTCAAGAATATGAGCATGTCTACTCAGGGGAGAGGCGGGTGCGGAGGCGATTCACAATCAGGCCAGCTGTAGAGAAGACCCTCTCAGCTGGAATTTGGGCATAAGATGAGGTTTGAGTCTGCGTGATCTGCGTGTAGGGAGGGGCAGCAGCCATATCGTTAGCTAGAACTAGCTAGATCTGATGGGTTTGGACATAAACGTGAGTGAAGTATAACCGGACGAGAGAGAGAGAGATCAGCACCTGCAGCTCTGCCCGCTGTGAGGGGCCGGTGAGCGGAGCAAAACACACCTTTAGACCTAACACACTTAGCTATGGCACTGTCGTATACATTGAATTATTCCATTTGATCATATGTAATCAACTTAGGCACCCCTCCCAAAAAAATAAAATTACAATAAAAATATTCATAACTCATATTCTCATATTCGAACACCTGAATAATTTCCCATCCCTAATTTGTACACATTTAAACAAAATCAGCTGTAACAATGTTAAGATAGTCCCATCTCGGGCTAGTATAAAAGGAGGTACATAATGGATAAAAAGCTAAAAAAGAAAGACAGTTGAAATGGTACGGTTAAGAGAAAGCTTAACAGTTAGCTGTTTTAAAATGTGTCCTAAACAGTTAACCAAAATTAGATGATAAACAGTTAAAGGTATGCTAAGGGTAATGGCTATCCCTATGGATACAATAGGGATATGTGCAATTTGACGGACACTATGCATAGGTGCAATAGGGAAAGTGCAATATTTGATTTATGTATGTGCAATAGGGAAAGTGCTGTACCTGTATGTTTCTAGTTTCTTTGCCATGTGATATGTGATCTCTGTTCTGTATCTATGACTGATTGTCCTAAATGTTTTATGTTTATTATCTCGATGCCCAAGACAAATTTCTCCTAAGGGAGACAATAAAGCTTTATCTATCTAAATCTAAACAGTTGAAACAGCTAGTTAAAATGGTTTCTAACAGTTGAAAAATATAGCTGAAAGTCATTGATAAATAGTTAGCTAAATGGAAAAGCTAATGAGTTAAACAGTTATATATATCTAGTATAAGTAGGTTTTTAATAGTTTAAATAGTTAGCTTAAAACAATGTCTAAACAATTTAAACAGTTGGCTAAAACTAGATAATAAAACATTAAAATAGTTAGCCATTACTAGAAGTTTAAAGGGGACCTATCATGCAAAATGCACTTTTGTACGTCTTTTCTACATGAATATGTGTCCCCGGTGTTCCAGGGAACTCACCAAGTGTCAGAAAACACAACCCTCTCTATTTTCCTCCATACCCAAATCTCTAAAAAAGGGGCTGCAACGGATCTGATAAAAACTGATCCAGATTTGAACACTGTCCTGACGTCAGTAAAGTGGCGCTACGGCTATTGGGCCAACTCCACCAATCAGGAGGAGACAGCCACGGCCATTGCCGTTCGAAAGCGCTGGAGACGCTGTAGTACATATGCCAGGTCTGTAAGTGGCGCTGTAGTCTGCCACAAAAGCAGCGAAGAAGACTTGGTTACCATGGTTACCCTTCTGTTTATTCTCCGCTGTGGCTTTTTTTCTCCCTCCCCGAGGCAAGCGTTTGCTCCCGCTGCTTTAATTCAATGCAATCCCTCCCCGTCGAGGCAAGCACTGTAATTCTCTCCGGTTAGTCCACCAGCAGATGACAAACACCCACCTCTCCGCCTCTTCCAAGGAACGAGGGGACCGTGCGGCAGAGTTTCAGTTTCAGATTCTTTCGCCGGTCAAGATGTCCGTTAAAGTTTAAATCTTCCGGACAAAATTAGAAAAGTGCCGGTCAAAGGTCTTCTTTGTTATTTATTGAGCTTTAAAACAAATTAATAACGACTCTATATAATAAAACACGGAGGACGGAGATCTCTTTTTCTCCCCCTCTTCTGACAGCCCAGCAGCTGATCAGAGCACGTCTCCCCTCTCCTGCAGGGGGGCGTGGTCAGCAAAATCAGACCAGTAGACAGCAAACAGCACATAGAGCGAAATGAGGCATGGCTAAAATACATGATCTGTTTGGTATTTTGAAAACAGAAACGTATAAATATACCTTATATAGGTATGGCCCTACAATATATCATTTAAATATAGCATGATAGGTCCACTTTAACAGTCAAAACAGTTAGCTTAAGGTAAGATTAGATACTTTATTGTCAGCTGAAATAGTTATAGTTTGCTAAAAGTAATGGATGGTGAACCTGACTGCGGGGATTACTCAAACAAAAGAAGTTTGGAAAGCACTGCTCATGTAACTCCTCCTGTGTGTCAGCAGGAGGCGCTGTAGTTTGTAGTTATGTTACCTGGTGCTTGATGGGGATGCTGTACTTCACCCAGGTGGCCTGCTGCAGCGTCTCCTCGTCCTCCAGCTTCTTCTCTCGCTTCTTCCCCTTCTCCTTATCCTCCCTCTCCATGGAGGTCATGCGATGCAGCCTGAAGAAAGAGAGAGCAGAATGTAAACCGTATTTAAAAAGTTATTAGTGACCATGATGCTTGTTTTGAGGATTGAAGAAACCACTGCAGAAATGAAAGAGATGTTGAGGCCTATATGTTTTTTTCTGGAAAGCTCACTACATGTCAATATGCTATTACTAGTTGTTGTTGTTTACCTGGTGTGTCCGAGAGAGTCTTTCCATACAGGCAGCATCACCACTGGTTTGATGGCACACTCCAGAATAGCCAAAGCCAAAGCGAACTCCCTGGCCTTGCTGCACATCTGCACTGCTTTGTTCCAGTTGCTCCTACACAAACAAAACAACAAATAATGAAATACAGATACAGAACTGCATATTTCTTTCATAAAGCTTCTTCAGAAATGAAACTCCTCCATCAAGTAAAAATGGATCATCATATTTCATGTGGTTCAAAATGGACCAATCCGCGGAGCTCCTCACACACCAGGATCCCTTGGCGTCACTATCAAACACAGTGGGGGGGACCCATTGACTTGCATAGAGCTCCCTGGTTGGTAATAGACGAGTTGGGGTCACGGAGAAATGCTCTCCGCAGACCCCTTCTCACACCTTTTTCTTACTCAATATCAAGCCACACTTATTGTTTTTACTTCGGCTGTGAGTGTTTGTGTGTGCTCAGGATGAGTTTCGCTTGTTCCCGCTGTAACGCCGACCCGGAAACCACACCAGTAAGCCAGATCATTGAGCAGCGAGCCTCGCAACGTCCCGACCAATCAGAGCACACTGGGCTCACAGGGAGAGGGGGGGGGGGGGAGCTCCAACAAGCCGTGTAGGACAGAGAGTGAATACACATACTATACAGAGATGCTGTATGAGAAACCAATGTGAGTTTGGAACATTGAACAATATAAATCTATTTTAGTAGACCTCAACAATGGAATTATGATCATGGCCATGACATGGGACCTTTAAACCAAAATTGATTAACCCTTAAAAGGATATTCTTTGGTGAATTTGTTTTTACATCATGACTGGATTCAGCGTAAAGAATAGCCTGGCACATAAATCCCCGTAAAGCATGTTTTTGGACAAATGAAACAAACAAGGCTTTAATAAGTGAACTTTGAAGGTGCAAATCCGCAATATTTATCAACTTTGGACTAAAACTATGACGAAATATGTTCGTCAACGACCTTTTTTTCCATGACGAAAACGAGACGATGACGAGACGGCACCGACGGCAGTAAACAATAACTGTAACGAAATCATCATGCAATATCGTTGACGAAAAGTGACGAGACGAAAATGTAGTATACTAAATAAAAACTATGAGTGAGTGATACATTGTGCACTCGACGGGTAATAATGGATTATGACGGAAATGTTACGATCTTGTCTGTCAAAATGACTGACAACGAAAAAGTCTAAAGTCACCACTGCTTGGGAGAAAGAAACGATGTGATATTTGGGCCCATTTTCGCTACAATGAGCCGGAGAAAAAAAGCGAAGGCATTGTTTTATCAGAAGGGAAGCAATGTGGCCATAACACAGCTGGTAAAAACACCACAAACCTGACCAGATACTCTGCAAAGCTGCTCTCTTAATCATTCAACCTGTGTTTTTCATCAAATAAGGACAAGATATAATCTTATTGTGAAATAAGTTTGACTAAAATGACAAATTATTGGTTTTGGCTAGACTAGTTTGACTGAAATGTTCTCTGATGACTAAAAAAGACTCAACAGTTTTCATTGACAAAAAGTAGACTAAAATAATTAGTTTTCTTCGACTAAAATAAGACTAAAATGCTCAGACTTTTAGTCGACTAAAACTTGACTAAATAAAAACAGGATGAAGGTGACTAAATATGACTAAAACGAAAAAGGAAATTTAACACAGGACTATGACTAAAACTAAATAAAAAAATAGCTGACGAAATTAACACTACTTTGGACAAAAGTCACTTTTCCTGTCACTAGTCTTTTTGCAAAGCCAAGCAGCTGCTATTGAAAGCTTCATATCAGCACAAGGACATGAAAGGGGACTCGAAATTAACTATTTTCTAAAAACTAACCACACTCCTGCTTCAGGAAGTCGTTGGTGGCATCTTCCACCACACCATGGTGACAGATATCCTGCTGCATTTCATAGTAAATTACGTTTGAAATAAATATTAAAATACCTGTTCTTTAATCTTTTTCACTACGGCTGTATTAAATAGTTTGAACATTCATTTGTTACGTAGACAAATCTGCAGAATTGCAAATAAAGGTTAGCTCTATATATGTAGAGGTTTTTAAGATAAGCTTACAGTTGTTACCACGTACGATTGTTTCCCTACTTCAAAACTTAAGTCCAAAAGTTAACATTTCAGTTTTAAACAAATAATATATTCAGATTAAATATCCTCCTGACTGGTACCTGTGTGAGGCCCAGTTGGGGTGCATGAAGGGTCCGGGCACGCTGCTCTCCAGCTGGATGATGGTGAGGCGCAGCGTGGACACGGTGAGGCTGCGGGACCCGAAGATGGATCCGTTCCACTTGAACTCGGCGGCCATGGTGAGGCTGAACTTGTGCGACAGGTGGCGCCTCTTGTCGTGGTCCTCGCGGTGCTGGTGCTTGTTCAGAGCCAGGACGTTGGTGCTGAACTGGTTGTGGTACACGCGGTACTTCCCCTCCTGACCCAGCTTGAACAGGTTGTTTATGTTCACTGACAGATCCCTTTTTAAGAAGCTGAGGCGCGAGGAGTCACCGTCAAAACGAACCGGAGACGACTGAAACGAGAGAGGGGACGTTAAGAGTAAAGAATGAGACTTGAGCCTTTTCCACCGCGACACCAATGTGTCTTTATTTAAATCGCTAATCAAACCTTTTCAGAGCTGTGAGAGTGTGTGTGTGTGTGTGTGTGTTAGCGTGTGTGTTAGCGTGTGTGTGTGTGTGTGTGTGTGTGTGTGTGTGTTAGCGTGTGTGTGTGTGTGTGTGTGTTAGTGTGTGTGTGTGTTAGTGTGTGTGTGTGTTAGTGTGTGTGTGTGTTAGTGTGTGAGTGTGTGTGTGTGAGTGTGAGTGTGTGTGTGTGTGATATTTTTAACATTGTATTTGTATGATTTGTAACCTGTATCTAAAGTATCTTTGAGCTCCACAAAAAGCACTCATTAATTAAAATGTAGTATTATAATTATTTGAAATATATAAGCAGCGTTTTTAAAAAGCGGGATATTTTGTATTAATTCCTCTTTAAAATATTATCATAATTATTACTAATACTTGTATCATTAATACTATTATTACCATTACCTGTGTGTATATGTATTAAGTGTATTTTAGTGATGTCATGTCAGTCAAAGTCTTTAGTTTTTAATTATCTATTTTAACATTTTTGTCGTCAGTATTGTTGATTTTGTGTTTCTTTCAATGTGTAAAATGAATAAAGACAATGGTGTAAAGATGAAATAGCACATGCTAAAACGGTGGCTTTTATAATCCAGACAATTTATTTAAAGAGAGACTATTTTCAACTGTCGTCACATGCATGAAAATCTGCAAAAATATCCCTTTAAATCGATAATCAAACGAAGTTAACACAGGGTTTATTCTCAGATAAAGAACGTATTGAAATAGAAATACAATATCCTGGATGCCATGGACACATCTTAAGAAGTAGAACACGTGTAAAATCAAATGTTTGTTGTAGTCTCACCTCTTTGCTGCCTCTCTGGTGGTTGGTTTGCTCTCCTGCTGGTTTCCGTACGCTGCTGGTGACCTTCCCGTTGTACTCGTCTGTCAGAAAGGACACAGATTCAGTGTTGACTCAAACAGAGGGACCAACAACACACCCGTCTACTCCAGAGAGGGTTAAAGTACTCACATCCTGTACTCAAGTAGAAGTACAGATACTCGTGTTTAAAAGTAGAAGTACTGACTAAACTTCTTTACTCAAGTAAAAGTAAAGAAGTATGGGCTTCAAAGTACCCATAACTTTGTGTCCTCGGGCGAGACACTTCCCCCTGATTTGCTGTGTTCACTGATACATGTCTGATGTGTGTAATATGTCATGTAACGCGCTTTGAGCATTCAGAAAACCGCTCTAATAAGTGTAATGAAACGCAGATTAACGAACCAGTTTTGAAAAAGTGACAGAAGTGTTGGCGAGAATGTGGTTCTTCTGATGCTGACCATTCTCATATTTGTTGGCAATGTCAGCAAATAATTGTATTTTGGGAACTGATATGTGAGGAAATATTTCAAATAATTGGGTATGAGGTTTCTAAAAGCGGTTTGGTCGCTGAGGAAATGAGTGCAAGTGACAGATATTTTATACAAATTCTGTTCATATCCAGCAAGAAAGCTATCACTAGGAATTGGGGTAAGGAAGCACCGCCAACAAAACACCAATGGGTAACAATTGTGGAAGAAATCTTATTGATGGAAAAACTGACTTATAAATTGAGATTGCAAGAAACACAACTCAACAGAAAGTGGGACAAATTATACAAGACTCAAAGCAAAGACATTTGACTGGAACAATAGCTAAAAGATACATGTATCTTCAAGAAAATGATAACATGATGACATATCCCAAGCAGCGTCTTGCCGAAGATCGAGTTTTTATCGCTTGAAATGACGAAAAGGAAAAAGGACAGGGACATCCCTCTGTTGGAGGGGCAAAAGAGTCTGGTGGGATTCTTTTCGCCGCCAGCAAAGCGTGTTCCTGTGACGGAAAGTGTACTGCCGGCAAGCCTTGACGGAGGGTGCTAGTGGAGCACGCGCGTGAACTGCGAGCGCCGGAGCCTCGCAGCGGCGAAACTGAGGCTCCGTGGTAAACTGTGGTAACATGAAGAGCCGCTTGGGAGCCGAAAGAGCCGGCTCTTCTTATGGCGCGTTTCCACTACAGCGCGGAGCGCGGTTTAAGAGGGCTGTGACGTCAGCGGCCCGTCTTTGGTTGCGTTTCCACTTGGCCTAGTACCGGCTGGCGGGTCCTAATTCACAGTTTTTCTGGCCTCATAAAATCGTGGGTCTAGGGCCAGAGACAACGAGGCTGAGTCGGGCTGAGTATGCTAAACTAGAGAGAGCATCGCTGGCAAGGGGGCTACAACTACAACAAGATGGACATATTTGACCGTGATTTAATTGTAATACACGTTTCAAAATGATGCCGAAGTAACAACATACTGATACCGGTTAGTAAAAACCATGAATTAATGCTTTGTCAAGTCTGCAGACAGACGGCAGGCGAAAAACCTTTTAAAATGCGTGTTTTCTAAATGGAGATTGGCTAAGCTAACGCAGTATATGCTCCGACCGTCCACACTCATAACAACGGCCTATACAGACATAAATAAAGCAGCGACTGTATTCTCCATGACACAGGCAGTCTGTGGTTTGTACTTGTTTAACTTTTGTCTAGTTTCTGAACATATATGAGGAGCTGTGAGCTCTGAGGGCTAACAGCTAACGGCTGTGTTGTTTTTCTGGGGTTCTCATTGAAGATGACGTCACGGCTCCGCCTACACTGCGTTACTATAGATACTACCCCAGTTCCTAAACTGTAATGGAAATGCGCCATAAAGTGAGCCAGTCCTAACGAGGCCTAGCCATACCGAGCGAGGCCGAGCGAGGCCGTGTAGTGGAAATGAGCCATTAGTGACCCGGCTCACTAAAAAGAGCCGGAATTCCCATCACTAATACGTAAAGAGATAGTATCTATAAGGGACGGCTCAATTCAAAATTCAAGTCACGTGGCACGACGTGGCACGTGACCCCCCACGCTCTCGGGGTGGACACCCTCTCAGCCCTGGTCTGGCGGAAACACTGATCCCTAGCCTTTTATTTGATTTTGATTCTGTATTGCCTTGCTGCCCTTTTGTGACATGATTGTAATGTTGTTGTAACCAGCTCGTTAATGCCATGTATAATGTGACAATAAAGAGTTCAATTACAACAAAAAAGAAAATGTAAGAAGTAGAAAGTACAGGTATTTGTGTTAAAGATTTAAGAAGTAAAAAGTAGTGGAGTAAAGTACTGATACCAGAACAATGTACTTAAGTACAGTAAGGAAGTATTTGTACTCCACTACTTCCTGCCTCTGCTCTGCTCTGAGTTTACCTGTCCCGTCCTGGCTGGTGAACGAGGACCTGGAGGTGCGGTCGTTGAGGTCCGGCTGCTCCGGTTTCCTGAGGCTGGAAACATGCTCTTCACCGGGGGGCTTGTCCTCTTTGATAGACTCAGATTTAGCATCTTCACCTACAAAGAAAAAATGTTTGGAAAGACTGAGTACAGGCTTGAAAGCAGATATAAGAGATGCAAAGAGTAAAAGATATTTGCAAAACTACTGCTAATAATAATAATAATACATTTTATTTATAAAAGGTGGCGCCTTTCAAGGCTTTCAAGGCTTTCAAGGTACACAAAACACAAAGTACAAAAAAGACAATATAATCAATCAATAAAAACAGAGGACGTGTGATGTGGTGGATATGCCAGAGTGAAGAGATATGTTTTGAAAAAGATTTTCTCAATTCAGATAATTCCCTTTCCACTCTGCATGTCGTACATAAATAACACTTGTGAGTTTAGACCATGTAGTGTTGTCTCAAATCACATAGAGCTGCTGTAACCCGACAGGAAGTGACGATTACTGCCGAACAATTAGCAGTAACAATCATTACTGACCGCTCAAATAACCCACACAATTAGAAGCAGCTTCTTTTTTGCAACTACTGTAGTGGCATGTGTTTTAAATATAGGACCAAACCGGTATGAGAGCACCATCCGGTACTCAGAGTGCTTTTTGCTTCACATTGGGACGCACTTATGAACTCAAAATAGCATCCGTTAGAACACAAGTACTTTAAATCGAGACACAGCATGTGTAGAACTCACCAGAAAGAAATGAAACCTTTCAAATGATGAATTCTCAAAACACCAGCCCTTGTGTAATCTAACACCAGGTCTCAAAGTGTGATATTTGCATATGACTAACAAACTAAAGTGGCCCATTAAGTGCTCCATTAGTCCAGCCTATGAACCCATCTTGGAAATGAAAGGCAGAACAAATCCAAAACAAGCTGTGCACTTGTTGCCGAGCCTTTTGAGTTTTCAGGAGAGATTGTCCTGCATATGAAGCAGCTGTTTGTGGACGAGCAGCAGGTTTCTTTCATCTTCTTTCGTCTGAGCAGCAGGAACACAGACCGTAAACTGGGCTGAGAATAAGGAGCTGCTTCAGACAGACGCCGTCTAAAGGGGCCTACACACCAAACTGGCACCAAACTGACACCAAACTGACACCAAACTGGCACCAAACTGACACCAAACTGGCACCAAACTGGCACCAAACTGGCACCAAACTGGCACCAAACTGACACCAAACTGACACCAAACTGGCACCAAACTGACACCAAACTGACACCAAACTGGCACCAAACTGGCACCAAACTGACACCAAACTGACACCAAACTGACACCAAACTGGCACCAAACTGACACCAAACTGACACCAAACTGACACCAAACTGACACCAAACTGACACCAAACTGACACCAAACTGACACCAAACTGGCACCAAACTGACACCAAACTGACACCAAACTGGCACCAAACTGGCACCAAACTGACACCAAACTGGCACCAAACTGACACCAAACTGACACCAAACTGACACCAAACTGACACCAAACTGGCACCAAACTGGCACCAAACTGGCACCAAACTGACACCAAACTGACACCAAACTGACACCAAACTGACACCAAACTGGCACCAAACTGACACCAAACTGACACCAAACTGGCACCAAACTGGCACCAAACTGACACCAAACTGGCACCAAACTGACACCAAAGAACACCAAAGAACACGTCCCGACAGAACGTCGCCTCACGTCTCTGCGTCTTGGCCATGTGTCGCACTGGAACACACCGCATCGCTAGCTGAACAGCCAATCAGAGTGATTTCTTTAGCAAACAGCCTCCCGATTCAACATGTCGAATCGGTGGCGGCACGGCCGAAAAGACACGAGGGGGCGGGACACACCAATCTGAGTAGGGCGACACAACGCTCATCGACGGCCTGACATCTATCGACGGCCGAAATCGGCTTGGTGTGTAAGGGACTTAACAGATCGCCAGAAGTGTGTTTTTAAAGAGCAGGAGACGATATATATATAAAGAATATGTGTCTGGTGAAATGATAAGACATACTGGAGGAAAAGGCCTGGAACAGCTTAAAGGGGAACATTATGTTACCCAAAAGTGACTTAAATACGCTCAATATACTGTGGACATTAACCACAGGAGCAATTTGGGGTGAAGTGTCTTCCCCAGGGACACAACCACATGCTGACTGCAGTGGGGTTTGAACCATTGACCACGAAGACACCGTCTAACCGATCACAGGAGACGAGCCCCAATCTGACATATTGGGGAACACTTCTCAAGCGTGGTTGTGTGTTTGTTTCAGAGTCTCTTATCACAGAGGGGACACACCATGTTTATGTATAAAAGACATGAACAAGTGGATGTTGCGCAATAGGTGACCTTTAAGGAATAGGAGAGGAAGGTGAAGGAATAGAAAAAGGAGTATAAAGTAAAAGGAAATGAACGGCTTTCGAATATAAAAGGAAAAAGGAAATCTACAAAACAAGGGATGAATTATAAAGAAATATTAAGAAGTAAGAAAGAAACAAGTGCCAAGGGTTAACTAAACCAGAAGAATTGAACGTGTGTGTGTGTGTGTGTGTGTGTGTAGTTTTAGATTTTCATTGTATCTGTGTGAGAGAGAGAGGGGAGGAAGAAAGTGAAGGAGCACAGAGAAAGGCTGAGAACAAAAGAGAGAAGGAGGGGGGGTGCACGCGCATCTGTGACTGTGTGTTTGATGAGGCTCTTTGCAGTAACATAGTAAAAATGTTGGCTCTTAACCTCTGACTGGTTGGCCACCCCTGATCTAAGGAGATAAATGTGTATATTGTATGTATGCATATTATGAATAATATTTTCTACAACATAGTAAGCATTTCTTTTTACCCAGGATGACCCCGTCTGCTTTCATTATTAAACTTCCTTGCCTCCAATGGGGAATATTTAAATACAACGTGGTCAGAGACACCCTGTTTGAAGTAAACCATGTGAAACAGCCATGTTTTTTTACCTGTTCTCTCCTGTGCTTCCAGTGAAGAGGCTTCCCCGTCCTCTCGACTCGTGGTGTTAGCAGACTGTGTTTCCTTGTTGGTTTGAAGGGACTCCTCGGCTCCAGGTTTAGCTTCGGAGACGTTGCTCTCCTCTGCAGAGTCTTTTTCCTCTCTGTTGAGATGCGAGGAGACGTCAGATGTCTCCTCCGTCGCCTTTAAGGATCCTCTTTCTGCTTCCTCTGCTCGCCTCCTCGCCTCCTGAGCCTCCCGCTTGATCTTCAGACGCTCCGTGACCACGTCTAAAATAGAAAATAGGCACAGTGATTAATTTGAATACATGTAAATGGTCTGGAGAGACTTGTCCAGGTTAGGACAAGATGCAGCTCCGCGGATTTCTCAGCCTGAGACGGCGGGACGCGGCGAGGCTGCGGGTGTGTCAGTGTGCTCGGGCTGGGTTTCGCTGTGTCTCGATGTCTCGATGTCTCGCTGACCAGGAAACCACACCAGTAACCCAGCTCACACTGTCCGCTCCTCGCAGCAGCGAGCCTCGCAACGTCCCGCCAACACGGCACCCACGCAGCATTCTCACCTGTTTGTCATTACTGGTGTCATTTTCTGGTTGCTAACAAACACCATTGTAACACATAATCACACATCAGAGCACACTGGGCTCACAGGGAGGGAGGGGGGGGGGCAGGAGCTCCAACAAGCCGTTTAGGACAGAGAGTGAATACACATACTATACAGAGATGCTGTATGAGAAACCAATGTGAGTTTGGAACATTGAACAATATAAATCTATTCTAGTAGACCTCTACAATGGAATTATGATCAGTAGAAATGGCCATGTGACATGGGACTTTTTAAATGAGTTAAAAATGTCAATAATAATTTGCCAAAACCCAGTCTTTATATTATTACAATGAGAATCAGATTACAAATTGTTTCTATCCCTAATAAAAATGGGTTAGGTGATTTTGGAATGATAAATACAAGATACATAAAAAAAATGAAAAATGAAAAATATAAAGATTGAATAGAATTACAAAAGTTGTTTCTGATTGATAAACCTTTTAGCGTGTTTTTTTTGTTACCCTCTCACACTCATTATATCCACATTCCAACCCTGCGTGATATTGCAATTGCAAAGGGTATTTATTCATTTTGTGATATCCAATCTAATCCATAACTATTGTAAATCTGCCAATATTAGACAGGGCCCTATTCTAATCCATATCGCCCGGTCCTAACCCTAACTTGGTTTTAGTGAGTCTACAGCTTAAAGAAAGGAAACCACATCCGCTCAGAAACAAGACGGGGCAGATTTCCTTTCCTCAGAAGAACAATATCTCCAGATCGTATCTCCTCTAAGTTCAGTCGTCACGGAGACACAAAGAGCTGTGTCACATAAAGGAATAAAGAAATGTGAGGCGCTGTGCTGCAGCTTCTAACGTATAGAAAACACCAGCCATGAATCACCCATGATGGAGAAGAAAAGCACTGCAATGGCTTTTATTAAACGACTCTTCCGTTTGGAGCTACAGAATAACTTTTTAAACCTCAAGTTTCTGACAGGATGCCACAGAGACCCTCCCCCCCTCTCATAAAACACAGGGTCTCTCTGAGAGCTGAAATCAGGCGGTTTGGTGACGGACAGAAACAGGAAAAGTGTAACAAAGACAGATATGTCATCCTGTCAAACACTAACGGAAACGGCTGGCAGAGGATATCAAAAGATTTCGAAACACCCCGTCTCATTTTGGGGGAAACGAGGAGTGGTTAGTGTCGGAGTGAGAGTGAAACAGGAAGTGAAGTAGCAGCTAACAGGTGTGAGTTATCCGTTAGCGTAGCACTTCACACAGCGATGCATGCAGTGAAGCATTGGCCATACAAGGAACCTGCAAATTAGGGCTGTGCAATTAATCATATTTTAATCGCAATTACGATTTTGGCCTGCCACAATTACGAAAACAACATAATCGAAAAAAACGATTATTTTGCTTTGCTAGGTTGTGACAGTGCAACATATTTGATCTCATTAATTTTAGTCTAATTTATTTGTATTTATCATATTTATATATGTTTAGTAGCTTGTGGAAGTGCGCTCCAAAATATTTGTTGATCTTGTTTATTGGTATTTATTATTTTGATATTATTTATTTAAATGTATCATTTATTTTATTTATTTTTGTATTGGTTTTTCAGTTGAATTATACGTTCAGGGTAATCAACAGTTAAAAAGATACTGTTCAAATTATTATTTGTATTTGTTTTAAAGTTCAATAAATTGATGTTTTCAAAGTCAATGAATAATCGTATTTAATAATCGTGATATCAATTATTGACCCAAATAATCGTGATTATGATTTTTGCCATAATCGCACAGCCCTACTGCAAATACTAATTTAGTTGAATATCATTGTTGTTATTTGTGTGTTTAGGTACACCGGCCGGTCATGAAAAGTCCGCTCAGTCTCAATTAAAAACCTGTTTACTTTTCAACAATTTAATTAGAAAACCGGCAAGTTAATGCTTTTAAACACGTCTTATTATGATGAAAACATGACAGTAAGAAAGTTATATTAACTGTTGGTCCTTGAAATCTTGTCATTGAGTAGATAGTTGTAAAGCAGGTTAAGAGACTTTTGTAAAAGTTACTTTAAGGAGTTTGTGCTCATTCAGTTAGTGGGACAAAGGGCTGAAAGGGTTATATTTTATAATAAAAAGATGTGTTATATCTGCAATAGCTTTCTGATATTTGTCATTATTATTTATTTATTTCATCTTTTTAGTGAGTGTGTTTCTGTACGGCTTGAATTACTTTGATGTTTAGCAATATTTCAATAAAATAAATGTTTATACATTCGCCGAACCAATAAACAAAAGAAAGAAAACTCCCCAGACACTGTGACAACTTTTCTAACGGAAATACTATTATATATATATACACCAGCGTTTCCGTCAGGGGGCGTCTTGCCGTCATTTGACGCCCTTATTCAGCTCAGAACGCCCTGAACTCGAGCCGAGGGCGTCCAACAAAAAAAATTATTCGAGAGAAGATCGAGTTTTTATCTCTTGAAATGACGAAAAGGAAAAAGGACATCCCTCTGTTGGAGGGGCAAAGGAGTCTGGTGGGATTCTTTTCGCCGCCAGCAAAGCGTGTTCCTGTGACGGAAAGTGTACTGCCGGCGAGCCTTGACGGGGGGTGCTAGTGGAGCACGCGCGTGAACTGCGAGCGCCGGAGCCTCGCAGCGGCGAAACTGAGGCTCTGTGGTAAACTGTGGTAACATGAAGAGCCGCTTAGGAGCCGAGAGAGCCGGCTCTTCTTAGTGAGCCAAGACAAATGATCCGGCTCACTAAGAAGAACCGGAACTCCCATCACTAATACGTAAAGATACAGAGGGTGTTTCTCAATCGCGAGTAAAGCTGCTTCAGAGCCACTATTTCAAGCATACTACGTCATCGAGTGCCGCCGAAGTACTGTTCCAATCTCCAGTATACTTTGAAATCTACCGAGCCCGGCGTACTCCGTTTGGAGAAATATCGAGTGTGCACATGAGTAGACTTCGCGGTCTTAAAATCCCCACAATGCTTTGCGCACGGACCAATTTCCCCAAATATGTGGCGGAAGATGTAAGGCGGGGCCTCTCATATGACGCACACCTGCACACTTGCTAGCCTGTTCCACTCTTTGTTTTCCAAATGCCAGGAAGTATTCTTGACTCGCTTCTGAAGCAAGATGCTCGGCAGACATGTGCTACCAAGCAAGCGTACTCGCGATTGAGAAACACCCTGTATCTATAAGGGACGGCTCAATTCAAAATTCAAGTCACGCAACACGACGTGACGTCACACCCCCCGCTCTCGGGGTGGACGCCCTCTCAGCCCTGGTCTGGCGGAAACACTGATATACACATATTCATAGATTTGCTCCTCAGATGTAAAAGTATTAAGACTACATCAACACATTGTTGTATCATGGAAGCAGACAATATAAACAATATAGTGTATATATAGAACAAAGCAGGCATAATAAATATCACACATAAAGAAAAAATAATTTAGTAGAGTTAACCTATTTGGATCAGGTTATAAATCACTGATCTGAAAATCTGAATATCGTGTACCAGATTGTATTTACTTGCACTATTTTATCTGTTATATTGTGTTTCACTGTGGGAGGAGCCTGTGACCTCAGATTTTCATTATCACAAGCTATGTACGAATGACAAGAAAAGCCTTAAGGATGACACTGCCAGGGTTAAATCTCTTTCTATGGGTAATGAAGACGTTATATATTTCGTACCGTTGACAGCGGTGAGGTAGGCTTTGTTGTTTCCCCGGGCTTTGTTGGTGAGTTCCTCGGTGATGTCCATGTGAGCGTGGACCTCCTGCTTCATCTCCTCCAGCACGGCGTGGAGCTCGGCCTCCCAGTACTGACGGTCCAGAGCCTGCATCAGATCCTCCAGCTGCCTCACGCTGCTGTAGTACCAGATCTGCTTCTTCTCCTTCTTCTCCTTCTCCTTCTTCTCCTGCTCCCCGTCCTCCTCGCTGGGGGGGAACATGGCATTAACATACTGGTTACAACAATATAACAATCGTGTAACAAAAGGCCAGCAAGGCAATGTTATTCTTGAAGATACACGTAACTATTAGCTATTGTTCCAGTCAAATGTCTTTGTTTTGAGTCTTGGGTAGAGTCCATTTTTCCCACTTTCTGTTGAGTTGCGTTTCTTGCAATCTCAATTCATCAGATAGAGTGTACTTTACAAGATATATTACTTCCTCCATCGTTACAGTAATATTTAAACCGGTCAATATTAGACAGGGTCCCATTTGACTCAAAGTATGTGGGAGAGAAACTCGCTCTGGAGGGAACACAGGGATTTTAGACTTTGCAGAACATTTACATGCACGAATAATAATAATACATGTGATTTATATAGCGCTTTTCCTGGTGCTCAAAGCGCTTTACAAGCAAGTAAAGAAAGACAAAAGTAAAAAGTGCTAACCTAGGTGGAATAAAGGCGAGGGGTTAGTGGAGTAGGAAAAACCTAAAACCTATAGAACACACTACAGGAGAGGGAGAACACCAAAAAGCAAAATAGGGCAGCTTTAAAAAAAGGTAATTCTGGTGCAGTTGCAATTCTGAGGAGGCGTGTGGCGCAGTGGGTTAATGCGCTGATCTTCGAATCAGAGGATAGCAAGTTCGAGTCCCACTGCAGTCAGCATGTCGTTGTGTCCCTGAGACACTTCACCCCAAATTGCTCCTGTGGGGATTGCCCACAGGAGCAGTAGAGTATGTAAGTCGCTTTGGATAAAAGCGTCTAACAAGTGACATGTAATGTAAAAAAATGTAATGCAGTAACTTACACAATAATCCTCCTGTTCAGGAACCAGTACTTCCTCTGGTGGCGGTCATATCCGATGGGCTCCTGTCTGATATACGGCCGGTTCTTCTGCGCCTCCGTCACGCTGTCGGTGACCCCCGGCACTTTATGAGCGACGCAGATCTCGCACTGCCACTCGTCCTCCGGTACCTCCACCAGCGGGGGTTTCACACACTCCAGGTGATACACCGCTGAGCACGTCTCACAGCACAGCAGATCCCCCAGACGGTGACACACTCGGCAGTGATCGTCGTACAGCATGGTGCCGTCGGACATCAGCTCGTCGCGGGCGATGTTGGTGGTCAGAAACTGATCCACTAAGAACTGCAACACCTTGATTTTACTCTCAAGAGGACCATAAGGATACTCATCCACTTCCTGATAGGGCAGAACGTGATGGTACTCCCGGTCGCTCTCGCAGTACGCGCGCAAAACCTCCGGCCACGTCATGCCGTCAATAAAATACAGAGTGGAGTTGACGCTGTCTTTGAGGTCGGCGGGGGCAAACGTGGTGTTGGAGGTGTCTTCTTCACGTAGGATGACCTTCAAGAGGGCAATATGTGTCTCTGCGATTAAAGTGCACTGCTCCTGACCCACCAGCGCCGCACAGAAGTCCTCGAAGCGAAACGGGGAGAGACGCAACACCGTGCTGAAGTTACGTAGCACCTCGTAGATGGAGGCGGCGTTGAGGAGTTCGGCGCTGGGAACCAGGAGATCCTCGGAGGAGTCGGGGAGTTTGAGAGCAGGAATCTCCTTCTCCTCCAGGATAGGGCTGCGAGGTCGAGGCCGGCCTTTTCTCTTCCCTGTAGCAGACAGAAATTGTGTTAGGGAAGCAAACTTAGCTTTGATCGATAGGCTGCAGCATATTTGAGAGGCACATTACATAATAAGTCAATATAATGCGATGTTTAACCATTAATATCACAATGCTCTCTGCTTTCTGTCTGATTCAAAACTAAACATGGAGAAGCAGCGTTCAGTTATTATGCTTCATAAATCTTAAATGAAACCACAAAAAAACTGCTATTCTTACTTATTTTTAATCAAGGCTGAAGACGCATATTTTTCCTTCTGCCTTTTATTAAATCAAATCACTTTTTCATTTCTACACTGCACTTTACATTGCATTCTTGTATGTTATACCGGTCTTATTCTATTATATCTTGTTTTTAAATTGTATTTTCTTGGCCTTGAATTACTGTTATTAACATTTGGCAATAACCATCTTTTTCTACACCAATATACCAATGAATAAATGGTGCATAATTTCTTAATGTAGTTGTAATTCGTGTTATTCTCAATCCTACAGGTGCAGGTAGTTTGCTATAACCAGTCAAAGAGACACAATTAAGTTAGATAGCTAGCTCTTATATTTATTTTATTAGCTTTAATGACAGACTACGATGTCTTCTTCGCGTAATATTATTGCGTTTAGCTATAAGAAGTACGCAAAGTTAGCTTTATTTAACTATCAGACTTCATATTGACAGTATTCAGAATGAGCCAACTGTGAAAGATAACATTAGCTCGGAAGCTATTATCTTTCGACTAATTGGCTTCAATTCAGAAACTATACTTTCTTCTTCACCTGATACAAATAGGCTTGCGTGTAACTACAAGTAAGTACAGTTATAATGACATAAATACATTTTTATTATTAACTACAAGACTTCATATTGACAGTTAGCAGCAAGAGCTGTCCATGCTAACATTAGCCACGTAGCCGGTTTCTTTCTATGAATTAGCTTAAAATCAGAAACTACAATTCCTTCTTCGCTTATTACAAATAGCGTTGCATTTTAATATAAGAACCGATACTAACGTTAAATTATGATTATCTAACTATCGGACTTCTTATTGACATTATCCAGTAGCTAACTGTACATGCTAACATTAGCCACGTAGCCATTATCTTTCTATGAATTGGCTTGAAATCAGAAACTACAATTTCTTCTTCACTTGTTGCAAATAGAGTTGCATGTTAATATATAAAGTCAATATATAATTATCCAACTATCGGAGTTCATATTTACAGAAGGCAGTATGAGCTAACTGTACATGCTAACGTTAGCAGGCTAGAAGCTACTGTAAATTAACAACTTCAACTATTTAGAGTAGGAGGTATGCGGAGTTATTTTTATGCTATAACGTGTGAATAATGCAGAAAATAGTGCTTTTATACAGTGGTGGAAACACAGGTGAGCTGGTGTTACAGCTACAGATCTGATCCACCTACAGCAGCTTTACTGATCTGCGGCCTGTGTGCATACAGTCTCCATTTTGAACAATAACCACACAGCTTCCTGAGCAAAAACAACAACATCCAGCCTTTCAGGATGCATTTCCCAAACAATATAGACACTTTTCTTGCAATACTGTGTAATAATCACCTTTATGTGAAAAACCTTCATTGTTTTAAATATCATATCATGTTTTATAACGTCTCAACACCTTCATTTGTTACCTATGCCACTAAGTCAAGTTGCTGCTCCTAATTTTTAGCCATGGATTTGTACTAATTTATTCTATTCTATTATGTGCTTTCTTCTCTACATTTAGCTTTATAAATGTGCATATTATTTATTATTGCATGCGTTTTGTTTACCTGCTATGCTACATATATACATCTTTAAATACCTGTGCAATATATACTTCTACTGTTACTACTGTAAACCTGTCAAACTACTTTAACATCCTTAGCTTATTTAGAAAAAACAATTAATTCTACTTTTTGTTGTCCACCTTGATGTGTATTTTTGTAAATTGTTATTTGTGTAATATCTATTTTCAATATTTTATGCATGCCTCTTAATTAATATTGTGCTATTTTTGGCTCATTACTTTTGCTGTGGGACCAATAAAGGAATTCTTATTCTGATTATGACCTCCCTGCTGCAGTGCATATTTAACCCCACTTTGATCACATATTTACCCGGAGTGCTTGCATGTGTGCTCTGACTCCTGAAGCTACTCTCCGTGCACAAACTTCCACCATCCTCCTCCTCTTCCTCCTCTTCCTCCAGGCAGTCAGACTCCTCTTTCAGGGCCTCATCTTCCTCAGACTGGGGCTCCTCCACCTCCTCCTCCTCGGATCTCAGACTCACAGCATCGTCGTCTTCATCACTTTCATGGTCGTCGTACACCACGGTTTTGCAGACCGGGGTTCGCCTCCCTCCTCGTCCCCGACTTCTGCCCCCTCTTCCCCGGCCCCGTGTTGTCGTCCCCGACCCCCCCAACCTGCCTCCTCCTCTCCGCCGCTTAGGGCTCTCTCTTGCGGGGCTTACTGCCTCCTCATCCCCGCTGTGGTCGTCACTTCGCACCCGGGGCTTTATGTTCCTCCGCGGCCGCAAACCTCGCGTTGCAGCCGGGGAAGAATCCTCCGCTTGGAGAGGTTTGGGCGGCCTGCCTCTTTTCCCTCTCATGGTGGAATAATTACTCCTATTTTTGCAGGGGTTTTTGCCTCCAATTAGTTCCACTGCAGATGAGTCCCTGTGGGGTTCGGACGGTGTTGTTTTCACTCCCCGGGTTGGAGGGTTTGTTTACGGGTGTATGAAGCTGAGAATGTGAGCCCTCGGTTCTCCTATAGAGCCGCCATCTTTCTTCTTCTCTCTTCTCTCTGAACAACCAGGAGGCGCTCACTACACAAGTCACGTGGTTTCTCCTCAGTGGCAACAATGAGCGACATGAGGATTCACTCACATTAGTTTCATTTACTACATCTTAATGATAGATATGAGGTCAACGAGGGGGTACATGTAAAATGAAACATACATAGAGGGAGAAAGGGTGTTTAAACAGTGTTTTACCATTTTAGGCTATGCAATTTTAGGCATTCAGTTTGAGGTCAGAGTAGATAATATCCAAAATGGGGAGAATCAAGAAAATATGAATATGAAAAAAAACATGTCAATACATTTTTCAAGTTACTGATCAGTATAGACATGATTGTTGGTCATTTTATACTCAGCTAGGTTTTTTTTTTTAGCTCATATCAATGCACATTAATATATTTTATATTTATTTGGCCTTTTATGGTTTCTTAAAGTGCAAATACACATTTCTGAACACCTTTTTAATATTGCTTAGTGCATTCCCCATTTTCATTAATGATTTAAATAAAAATGTATGCTTTGAAATAGTAATGGGGGCAAAATCAGCCCTTTCAGACAGTAGTGGGGACAAGTATATCCTCAGTGTTCCCAATGTAAATGACACACACATCTATACAAATAAACATAAATAGACAATATACATGTCAACAGTTATTATACATAGTAAGTTAGAATACACTATAATAGACCAACCTACTTTATACATTATACAAGTGTGCGAAGTGGTTGCACTTTGTACATTTAAACACAAAGACATGTATTTTTATATTAAAATCTTCTTATATCATTGATGAATTACCTCGTTTGTGACTTAAGGAGTGTTGAACTATTTAGCCGTTTGGTTGAATAACCAGTACAGTTTTTAATCCGTTTATCATGTATTTTGCATGTTAAATAGTATTCAAACAGCAAACTATGTACAGTAGCATTGTAATGACTTCCTGTACAGATAAAACTATAGCAAACACTTTAACATGGGTCATAATATAAATGTCCAAATATTGATTATAGGGTTTGTGTGACACAATAATAAACATTTAAAGTAACTGTATTTGTAGTTTTCCATCCCAGTTACTGCTAGTACAATTGTCATTAATTTGTTCTCCATGCTATATATATATATGAATATATGAATTATGCAAAGTGCTGTATAAATAACGTCAGAAAATAATAAAGTTCATCAGTTGTCGTGGCCGAGTGGTTAAGGCGATGGACTAGAAATCCATTGGGATCTTCCCGCGCAGGTTCGAATCCTGCCGACAACGAACAATAATTTTTTGAAACTAATTTTAATAATAGTTGTATTTAATTTAAATTGTACTTTTACACATTAAGCTGTATATTCAAGAATCATTAGGAAGACATTCCGTGTTGATGGTATCGATATAAATACTAGATGCGCCTGAAGTCACCACTTTAGCGGTTTTAAACTATGGTTTACACTAAAGTGATGCAACAGCGCCACCCAGTGGTTAGGTTCAATGATTTAACAAAATGGATAATGCTTTAAAAATACTAAACTAAAGAAATACTGCAGGTTTTGTATAATTTTACACATGTATTGTCATCATTTAGGAGCCTGTAAAGTACGATATATCTGGTGTTTCATTCATTTCATTTGTATGTACTGTTTCATTTCATTTCATTTTTATTTGTCCCGCTCATGGTACGCAAAACCAAATGTACAATAATTGCCAACAAAACATGTCTCTACAAACACACCATTGAGCGAAAAGGAGCAGGGAGAAGAATAACATCTTATATGACCTGCCCCTTTCTAAAAAATAAATAAATAAATACAAATAGATGGTCTTCACAGCCAAACATAACAGTATCTTAGGATACCAAGAGAAACACAAAAAATACTTATTTCCAAAGTGGGAAATAAAGTATTTTTTGTGAAACAAAGCAACAACAAAAAACAACAACACCAAAACATCACATGTATAAGGAAAAGGAAATCATTACAAAAAAATAATATAAGAAAACAATTAAATACAGAAACTGTATATGAACTTAAGAAGTTAGAGTACAAATGTGAACATGTATACAAACAACTTAATGGAAGATAAGATACACTTTAATAATCCCAAAATTTGAATTTATTTCGTTGCGGCAGCATGTCAAACAAAGTATTGCACATAATTAGAAATAAAAAAGAGTGGAAAATAAACAATCGTTCAATATAAACATCCCAGCATAGAAGATAAAACAGAACTAAAGAGTATAAATATAACATTGACCATGAAGATACAAATATATTGATTATCTGACAATTAAAACACTGTTGACGGGCTAAATTACATTAAATGAAGTCAAATGTAGAGTGAAGAACTGTATAATCAATAAAGATAATTAAAATAGAATAGAAATAATAATAAAGTGCAACAAAAAGACTAAATAAAAATGTTTACATGAAGTAAAAGTTGTATTACAAAATAATTAAAGTTGACAACAGATATACATCTTGTCTATCCCAGGTATTTTCAGCCAGTAGGGGGCAGTGATGAACCATGAATCAGAAACAGCGCAGTAACTCTGAATTTAAAGACAACTGTAGCATCAGCATCAGAGTTAGAGGAGACCTTAGACAGTTATTATTTATATAGATTCATAGAGGTAACACTTTCATGATCAATCATTATAAAACATATCATATATATTATTCTGAAATGGACCAATCTGCACAATGACTACTTTTACTGTCGCTACTTTCACTATATTTTGATGAGAATACTTTTCTACTTTTACTTGAGGAACATTTTGAATGCAGGACTTTTACTGTAACAGAGTATTCCTACACTCTGGTACTTCTACTTTTACTCAAGTACAAGATCTGAGTACTTCTACTTTTACTCAAGTACAAGATCTGAGTACTTCTATTTTCACTCAAGTACAAGATCTGAGTACTTCTACTTTTACTCAAGTACAAGATCTGAGTACTTCTACTTTTACTACAAGATCTGAGTACTTCTCCCACCTCTGACCAGAACTGTCGTTGCACTTATTTATTTAATTGTTATTTTTGTTTATTACCCTTTAGTGTTTTGATTGATTGATTGAAAAGTTTATTAACAGCTTGTATATTGGGTACAGTACAGTACAGCTCAAAACATACAATTGTTAAGGGGATGCAGACCAGAGAAAGACTTTCGTCTTGTTTACATCAGGGTCCCCCATTTCCAATTCATCATATCATTTAAGACATATAAGACATATTAGACATACAGATGGCTTATTTACAATGTACATACAGGTGGATTTTTACATACAGATGGCTTATTTACAATTTTCATTTTAGGTTTCGTTCTAATACATCCTAACCGGACATTTAAGACATACCAAGTCTACAGATATACAGTTAGTAACAGAGTCTAAAATGCGAGTATATACATAGATGGGGGGGGGGGGGAAGCTGTCCATTGTACGACAGGTTGAGATTTGTACCATTACCGAGGCCAGTTTTGCAATGCTCTCCCCCTAAGGTGCTCTTTAAGAGAGGTTTTGAAGGTAAGTATAGTTTTACTTTCCTTTACAGTTGTGGGAAGAGCGTTCCACCTTGATGTGTAATCGCATGTCTTCTGTTGAGAGCCTCTGTGTCGCATGTCTTCTGTTGAGAGCCTCCGTGTCGCATGTCTTCTGTTGAGAGCCTCCGTGTCGCATGTCTCAAAAGACTGCAATACTTTTATATGTATTTAACAATTCCTTTTGAATTGTGTCAGTAACAGAGCAGATGAGTGGAGTCAGTGGAGCGGACTGAAACACACTCAGATCAGCTGGAGGCGGGACGGGAGTCAATGGGTCTCAGCGTCAGAATGTGGAGCAGACGGAGCAGCAGACCGAGGGTAACATGAAGATCTGAGTGAACCCCTTCAGGCTCTGAGAGAGACTCCCTCCTCTTCATCACTCATCTTCATCATCCTCTGCACCTCGACACACACTGAGGATACGTTTCATATCCTAATGTACTGTACTGTATTTTCTTCAAGTTTGTATCTTCTTGGTCGAATGCACTTATTGTAAGTCGCTTTGGATAAAAGCGTCAGCTAAATGCAATGTAATGTAATGTTGACATGTGGCCTCATGTGTGTGTAGTTACTCAGTGTCTGACTCACTGTCTGGTAGACCCCCCCCCCAAACACACACACACACACACACACACACACACACACACACACACACACACACACACACACACACACACACACACACACACACACACACACACACACACACACACACACACACACACACACACACACACACACACACACACACACACACACACACACACACACGCTCTAAGACCCCTTGCTGTGAAATACAAATGATGTGCAGTATATATATATATGCCGTTAATAGCTGTGCAATTTATACCTGGATTCTATTTCTCAAAACTGTAACAGATGGATAGATAGATACTTTATTGATCCCAATTGGGGAAATGTGTGTGTTGCAGCAGCATAAAAAAAACAACGCAATAAGAAACTAGAAATAAACAACCCAAAATATTTCTGAAATAGAAATAAAATAGCATTAAAAAGTAAAAATAAATAAATATATATACATGAGGAAATAAAAATGTCCAGTAACAAATACAATACATATATATATCTATATCTATCCTGCACAAATATAATGCAGGATATAAGCTGTCTTTGGCTCTTTTATGCTGTTAAAAAATGTAAATGTCCACTCTGTGGGAAGAATAAAGTTATGCTGACTCTGACTCACTGCTGGTGTCTGCGAGATTTATTTTTTAAAATATTTATGCAACACCAATCTACTGCTGATGATATTTAGATGATGGGAGGTAAACACACACAAGCAACATCATTACACCGTGTCTGGATGGGGAACATCATCGAAGGCTAAGAGGTCAAAAAGGACTTTGAAATGAATGTTTAAACTGTTATTAAAGGGACCCTATGATTTCCCCTCTCCTGTAGTGTGTTCTGTTGGTTTTAGTGCATGTAAATGGTCTGCAAAGGCTACAATTCATACATAAACATACAGTCAAGACTCGGGGGCGGAAAAAGGTATTCAGATCAGATAACACTCATTTAAAAAGAAAATAATCAAGTAGAGTTCGTCAAAATGTGCCTTTAAAGAGTCCCTATTCTGCTTTATGTAGGTTTTAGTGCATGTCAATGGTCTACAAAAGCTAAAATACCTGTGTTCCGTCCAGAAGGAGTTTCTCTGCCACTTAAACGTTAAAATCTCTTCAGCTTGTGTTAACCACAGACCTTATTGTAGGCTCACAACCAAAAACACATTCAGAAAACCATTGACTTCCAGCCATAATTACAATCACTGGTTAAAAGACAAAAAAAAATAGTAGAGAAGTTCAAACGAAGTCTCAAGAGTCCAGGGAAATCGAAGCAGAGACGACACAAAACAAAATCTCATTTTTTAATAATTGCATTTTATTAATTGAAAAAACAAAAAAACAAATGCAAAATAAAAAAAAAGAGCCAAAAAACAAAAAAACAGGTTCATTAGGTAAGACGAGGCGAGAGACACTTAAATAAGAAGAGTTCCATGTTGGCGGGGGTAAAGGTGGAGGAGGCGGGCTGATGGAGAAGGTGTGTGTGGGGGGGGGGGGGGTAAATGTTGATTTATTATATACACTGTTTATCTGGGGGGGGGGGGGGGGGGGGGGGGGCTCAAAGTAGCAGGTCGGAGACACTGAGACACCAGAGAGAAAGGCACTATCCAGAGAGAAAACACGGTAAACACACACACACACACACTGGACCAGAAATCAACAAAGTGCTAGACAACACAAGAAGCTGATTCCTCAACTTTTAGCATCAAAGACAATCTCTCAGTCTCCTGTCTGATTGGTGATTATCCGAAGGAGCTCCGCCTCTTTGCTACGTGCAGGTATAACAAGGAGGAGACGCATGCATGTCATCAAAGTGTGTTCAATGTACACACACTCTTTTTTCTTTATTTTGAATCCCTTGCATGATGTATAGTTTGGTTCAGTTCTCCGACCGCTGCCCTCGTGTCTGCGGAGCTACATTCACTGACCCCCGGAAATCAAAATGGCTGCAATAAATACTTCTGAAAAGGCGGCTGACCCCCTTTTTTTTTTTTTTTTTTTTACACTTTGTATAATACGACAGCTCTTCTTCGCAGCATTCATGGCTCCTCTGCTGGTCGGACAGTCTCTCCTCCGGTATGCATTATAGACAAGTTCATTCAAAATGGAATTGACGACCCCTTTTACACATCATGCTGTTCCTATCCGAGAGCCCCCAGACATATTCAGAAAAACAAAAAGACGACTCAGCACTCCCCTAGAGCTACTAGGGCGTATCCAGACAGAACATAATTTACAAAAATGGAAAAAAATACAATTTGTGATGAGAGGTAAAACAGACAAACACATACAAATATATAATATATATTCTTAAAAAATGGATTCTCTCTATAGTTGATTTATTTATACAGCCGAGAGGCCGATGTACAATGCTCACGTGCCAACGATCAACCCGTCGCCCACTGTCGATTGCATCTTCTTTGTACATTTTTTTTTAAAACCATTTCTTTATTTTTTACATTTTTTTTCTTTTCTTTTAAAACAGGTTTTTTTTCTTTAAGGGGTGATTTAAAAACAACATGCGGCAAAGAAGAGAGGAACACAAAAGACAAAAGGCAGAATGTTAAGAAGTTAAGGACAGAGGACGTTTCCCCTCCGATCCATCCTCCATGTTTTCTCCTCAGGACGAGGAGGAGGAGGGTTTGATGGGATGAGATCAAAATGATGCTGTTGCTGTTGTTGTTGTTGACATGGTCTGACTGTTCTACATGTTCCTGTTGACGGGCGTGACGTAGTTGCGGGGGAACATGCCCGTCTGGCCGTGGCAGCCCCCCTTCCACCAGTTGGGGTCTGAGTTGTCGAGCACCTGGATGAAGTCTCCGCGTCTGAAGCCCAGCTCTCCTTCCTCCTGAGGGTCGAAGTCAAAGAGAGCCTGCACGTACGTGGGGTGCTGAGAGAGGAGAGAGGAGGGTTAGCTAGGATATAAGGATCATTCAGACACATGTAAAAGTTATCCTGGCTGCTTCTCTTGGTAATAAAATACATTATTACACGGCTTAGTTGTATACTTGATTCTGATTGGTCCATTCAGAACATGTGACACGTTGTTAATACAGTACTACAGACCGCTGTCAAGGACCATAACGACCGTTGCTAAGGAGGATCGAGAAAGAGAAAGGAGGTACAGATACATGAACAGAGTAATTAATGAAGACTTTATTAATTAGAGGAATATCCAGAAGCTAAAAAAGGATAAAAGTCATTAAATAAAGATATTATTATAAAAGTAAGAAGTTAAAATAAAAATGTGAGAGTAAAGGTAGAAGAAATGAAAGTAGCTCTCTGCGATATTCTTAATATTAAATGGTCTTTAAACCACCGTACCCTTCCTTCAAACGGTTTCAATTTAATTCATTTTAAATAACACAAAATCCGACCTTTTTCCGCGAGCGATAGTGACTTTTATTATTAGAAAAATAATTAAAAAATAAATTCATGTCCAAATATTTAAACACCAAAAAATAAAAAAATAAAAGTATTTATATAAATATTAGAAGTCAAATTAAGACGGCACAATAAAAAGAAAAAAATGTCCAATAAAAGATAATAAATATATGAAGTTTAAGTAAAAATGTGCAATAAAATTAAGATAAATCTAAATGATAGTAACTCTGCGATATTCTATTATACTGTTTTTCATCAATATATTACAGGTCTCAGATATATCCAGAGCCTGTCTCTGATTGGCTGAAACACCAAACAGAGCATTGCAGCATTACCCATAATCCCCTCTGTTTCAGCCCTGTTTCCAAAGTGCTGATTCTCTGTCTGTTACTTTAGATGAAAATAAGGAGCCCCTCCCCACGCCCCTCTGAGAGATATTTGGTTACAAAGAACTCAATGGTGCTCTAGGAGGAGATTCAGGTGATAAGGTGGGGGGGGGGGGGGGGGTTACCTTGGTTTCTGATTGGCTAATGGTTACACAAGACAAAACATCGTTATGACATCATAAAGTGGCCAAAATCTGATCAACTCATTTTCAGACAGGTTTTTATAAAAATGGATCAGGACAAAAAGAGAGAGAATCTTTGTTCCTGAAACTTTCAGAGTCTCTTTCCACAGAGGGGACACATGGTTATGTAGAAGAGACATGAAGAAGAGGGGACACATGTTGATGAAGAAGGGACATGAAGAAGAGGGGACACATGTTGATGAAGAAGAGACATGAAGAAGAGGGGACACATGTTGATGTAGAAGAGACATGAAGAAGAGGAGACACATGTTGATGTAGAAGAGACATGAAGAAGAGGGGACACATGTTGATGTAGAAGAGACATGAAGAAGAGGGGACACATGTTGATGTAGAAGAGACATGAAGAAGAGGAGACACATGTTGATGTAGAAGAGACATGAAGAAGAGGGGACACATGTTGATGTAGAAGAGACATGAAGAAGAGGGGACACATGTTGATGTAGAAGAGACATGAAGAAGAGGGGACACATGTTGATGTAGAAGAGACATGAAGAAGAGGGGACACATGTTGATGTAGAAGAGACGTGAAGAAGAGGGGACACATGTTGATGTAGAAGAGACATGGAGAAGTGGATTTTGCATAATACGTTACGTAAATTCTAAAGAAACCCACCTTCAAACAGGTCATTCAAACTCACTCTACTCTGTCTCTCCGTCTCTCTAACCTCTGTGGTTTCTCACTTCCTCTCCTCTTCCTCTCCTCTCCTCTTCCCCTTCAGCTCACAGAAAACCAGCTTCACAGCCGCTGACTTCCTGTGTCCAAATTTCAAGAGAAATCTGCACCACTGTTCCTCTTGATGTGTGTTTTTTAAAAAAGGTGACAAAGTGTACTCGCTGTGAGCTCTTCAGCGTAGCCTCACTGCTGCCGCTTACTCCTCAAACTCAGAGATGAATTCTGATTTGAGACTCAATTTGTTTTATTATAGAAAAGAGAGACGGCGAGTTACATCCTCAGCTTTCCTCCAAACTGCTGAACTAAGAAAACAGACCTTCTTATTAATGACAGAATGCTAGAGTGATGTAGGTTTTAACGGTAAATAGATGAGAGCAACGCTAACGTCACCTTCGGAGGGAAACAAAGCTTCGGTGCAAAGTGGAAAGCTGTAGTTTAATGAAGCCAAAAAGCTGCTGTGTCGTGTATTGCACCTCAAACATTAAATATATCCACAGTTACGTGTCTCTGTACTTCCTCTAAGAAAGAAGGACAGTACAACTAGAGCTCTGTGGCTTCAGAATATTCACAGAGACCCTAGGTGCTATCATTAGTTAGCTCGTTAAACCCCCTGTTTAATATGTTGACGTTAGCAATATATTTATAGTTTACAGTAACCTAAGTTGGACAGACTATTAAAAACAGCTACATAATGTGGCTTGATGACAGAAAAAGTGACAGATGTCCTTTAAAAACTACCTGGAGATTCAATGAGGTAGATAAACATGTCGGGGTATCACACCTCGTCCACCGGCAGAATGAATGGACATCGATCGCCTATTCATTCAGATTTAACCAGATATCCAGCCAGATTTCAAACGATTTAATGTAATTGTTTGCCTGACTGGCCATTAGCCGCTTTCACACCAAGTACTTTGCCGCACTTAGTTCCCAGCACTTAGTTCCCAGCACTTAGTTCCCGGCACTTAGTTCCCGGCACTTAGTTCCCGGCACTTAGTTCCCCCATGGAACGAAGAGCAGATCGCGTTCACACCGGAATAAGTCCCTGAGGGAGGATTAGGCAAATGAAGCCGCTGACGTCACTTCTTCTTCTTCTGCTTTGGGTTTACTGGCAGGCCGCAAACAACTTCACGGCGTATACTGCCACCCGGAGTCCCCGGACGGAAGTCCCCGGAGTTGGGGACTGGCTTCAGTAGAAGCTGCTGGGACTCCCAGCAGCTTCTACTGAAGCCAGTCCCCGGAGTTGGGGACTGGCTTCAGTAGAAGCTGCTGGGAGTCCCAGCAGCTTCTACTGAAGCCTTCAGAGTAAATCGCCAGAACGCCGACACCTCCTCATCTCCACCGCTCCCATGTTTTCTTTTGTGTTGCCATAAGTTATTCTCTCTCCGTTGGTGCGCTGGGCTAATGCTAATGCTAATAATGCTAATGCCAGCAAATACAATGGCGGCTTCAAAAAACTTTTCCGAGTTGTACGGGTGTGGTTTGCAATTCGCCCAACCAATCAGAAATTGTTACTTTCTTCTCCCCAGGAAAGTCCCACCTCTCCAGCAGGGACTAAAAAGGGGGGACAAGTTCTCTGAACTAAGTTCTCTTTTTGGTGTGAACGCAAAATCCCAGGAACTAACGGAACTAAACGGGAAAAGTACTCCAGTGTGAAAGCGCCCTTTGTAATCGGGCTCCTTGTAGATAGAAAAATCAGAAGTTGTATTTACCGCCGTTCAAATGACAGTGTTTTCCCCCAAAAAGGAGCGTGGCCCTAGCTCTCATGTATAAATAATAATAATAATAACAATGACTTAGATTTATATAGCGCCTTTCAGGGGACCCAAGGTCGCTTTAGAGCCAAAACAGGAGTAAAAAAAACAAACAAAAAAAACTGTCACTTATAAACTAAGTCACTATAAAGCACTTTTAGGGCAAATTATTGCAAAATATGATTGCTGAAGTCTAGATATAACTTACGTTTTTAGATTCTCGGTTTAGCATTTAATGGGATAATTGAAAAAGACATTTGACCAATTGGTTGTGAGCAGTGTGAGTTTGAACTAATAGAGAACAACACTGTGGGTTTGAGAAGCAGTTACTGTTTCCTTTCTGATATTAGTTGTATCTCAAGTGATTCTCGCTGTGACAAAGAAAGGGTTTGGCTGCTGATAGTGAAGTAAGTCAATAATCCTACTGGTTATTTACTTTGTGGGATTTTAGTTTTAGGAGTCGTTCTCACCTGGGGAGCCTGCTCGATGTCTCGCAGGAAGATTTGTTGGTTGCGAGAGACCGAGGTGGAGCGATGATAATCCACCAGCTCGTTGAGAGAGTTAAACTTCACCACCCACAGGAAGTACTTCCCCGCTCCGTCACGGAGAACCTTGAAGTGCTGGACGTCGTTTCCAAACCTGCAGGAGGAACAGAGAGGAAACGCATCATCAGCTCAAGTTCAATTTCTGACAGGAATGAGTCCTAAACTCCAGAAGTAAGGCAGCATTTAAGCACGTCTTGTTCCCTCGTCTGGAAGTTTTTTCTGAATGTGCTTCTGGCTATCCTGAAATAAAGTCTGTGGTTAACACAAGCTGAAGAGATTTTTTACATTTTGTTCCTGTCATAAAATACCCCACTGGTGAATTTAAAAACAAGTGTCTAAATGAGACGACTACACGTCATCACGCCCAACATTAGCCTCCTTTAGCTAAGCGGTGGTGACGTGAGGTCATGTGACCGTGCTGTAGTTCCTTTATAGCCCAACATTAGCCGCCTTTAGCTTAGCGGTGGTGACGTGAAGTCATGTGACCGTGCTGTAGTTCCTTTATAGCCCAGCATTAGCCTCCTTTAGCTTAGCAGTGGTGATGTGAAGTCATGTGACCGTGCTGTAGTTCCTTTATAGCCCAACATCCAAAACCACATGGAAAAATCCCATTGACTTTTTGTGGAGGGAACCATGGAGATGCTGCCTTCAGGGTCAGACAACAAAACAACGTCATCACTGCACCTCTCTTTAGTCATCAAAGATTTGAATAACAGGAAGTGGATCACTCAGACGTTAATCTTGCTTAACAAATGGACGACACATGTCTGATAAGTGAGATCTCCAGACTTACTTCTCCAACTTCAAAAACAACAGTTTGTTTCACCCTCTCTTTTCTTGGTACAGCATGTTATATTATTAGTAAGTGTCTTAACATTTGAAAGAGGAAGCGTTATTTTTTTATCCTCACTGTCTCAGTCTGTTTCTCACTTCCTGCACTTCTATCATCCGGTAATCTCTTTTAATAATCCCCTACAGACAGCTGCAGTTTGAGGCAGCTAAAGGCATTGTTTCGTAGAGTTTTAATGAGAATTAGGGCTGCAAAAATAACCAACATTTTATTAAAATCGCAATATAGACTAGTGCATTAATTATTTAAAAAATGATCATCCCTCCAATATCGCAAACCATATTGCAATTGAAACATCAGTCAAAAATAATCGCAGATCGTGCAGCCCTCACACACACACCAGGTGTAGCCGAGTTCACCAATGATAATGATCCTCACACACACACTCCCTTTTTTGTTCGCAGTGTGGAGCGACTGCAGTTATTAGTCAAATGAATCGATGAGATGATATTGAACTCAGACGCTGTGACTAACAGGAATCCAGACAGTAATTATTATCCATATCTCCCACTTTACATGTGACCTGCAGAGGAAGTGAGCTGTGTGTGTGTGTGTGTGTGTGTGTGTCAGCTAAATCACTAAGTACTCATAGGGCTGAGGTCCAAAAACAACAAAAAACATAACAGGCAGAGATGGAAAATAACTACGTCCTGCACCTCAGTATAATTATGAGTAAGGCTGAATCCAAATCTAATCTAAATTGCAAAAAGCACAATATTAGGTAAAGGCTAATTATGTGAACATATCTGAATGGAGTTATTGTGGTGTTGCATATACGTATGGTTTGGATAGGCTAAATCGTATGTACGCAATACACTTAGAAGTACACAAATAATCCAAAATTGGCTCCACATTTACGAGTCACAACATGAACAAACTATTCTATGTATTAGTTCAGTAATAGTGATTATTATTCTATGTTTATTTGACTGTTTTATTATTGTTTTTTATTGACTACTGTTAATATTAAGTGTTTTTATTTATCAAAAAGCTACGTGTCACTCAGTTTAAAAGAAAGGAAGGGGGTGGTTAGTATTGTTTGTTTATGCTTAAGGTTTGTTAGCTCATGTGTTAGCTCTTGTGTTAGCTCATGTGGTAGCTCTGGTGTTAGCTCTGGTGTTAGCTCTGGTGTTAGCTCTGGTGTTAGCTCTGGTGTTAGCTCTGGTGTTAGCTCTGGTGTTAGCTCTGGTGTTAGCTCTGGTGTTAGCTCTGGTGTTAGCTCTGGTGTTAGCTCTGGTGTTAGCTCTGGTGTTAGCTCATGTGGTAGCTCTTGTGGTAGCTCTTGTGGTAGCTCTTGTGGTAGCTCTGGTGTTAGCTCTGGTGTTAGCTCTGGTGTTAGCTCATCTGTTAGCTCATCTGTTAGCTCATCTGTTAGCTCATCTGTTAGCTCTGGTGTTAGCTCTGGTGTTAGCTCTGGTGTTAGCTCATGTGTTAGCTCATGTGTTAGCACTTGTGTTAGCTCTTGTGTTAGCTCTTGTGTTAGCTCATGTGTTAGCTCATGTGTTAGCTCATGTGTTAGCTCATGTGTTAGCTCTTGTGTTAGCTCTGGTGTTAGCTCTGGTGTTAGCTCTGGTGTTAGCTCTGGTGTTAGCTCTGGTGTTAGCTCTGGTGTTAGCTCTGGTGTTAGCTCTGGTGTTAGCTCTTGTGTTAGCTCTTGTGTTAGCTCTTGTGTTAGCTCTGGTGTTAGCTCTGGTGTTAGCTCTGGTGTTAGCTCTTGTGTTAGCTCTTGTGTTAGCTCTGGTGTTAGCTCTGGTGTTAGCTCTGGTGTTAGCTCTGGTGTTAGCTCTGGTGTTAGCTCTGGTGTTAGCTCTGGTGTTAGCTCTTGTGTTAGCACTTGTGTTAGCTCATGTGTATGTAAAGTGCTCTTGCTCTATAAATGAAGTTTAATTTGATAAAAAATAAATAAATTTTTCTGATAGAGCTTTTACTTGTAATAGAGTCATTTAAACTAATGGTTTTAGTATGTTAACTTAAAGTATGTGAGTTGCTCTTCCCTCCCCGACAGCAGAGGGCAGCACAGAGTCTCTCAGGAAAAAGGAAGCTCTGTGACGATGAGTCAGAAACACCAAGTATGGAAACACATGAACCATCTCTGGTGAGGAGACTGCCCACTGAGGTAAGCATAGAGGAACATCGTATTTATAGAAAACAGCACGTGTGTGTGTGTCTGTGTGTGTGTGTCTGTGTATATGTACATCCTTACAAATGCATCAAAATGTGCATAAAGCATGTTTTTATTCACGCAAACAACCTGCTGTCTGTGTGTGTGTGCGTGTAGCCTGGGAGGTTAGTGTGAACTGTTAATGACAGGCGGGTGTGAGAGAGAGAGAGAGAGAGAGAGAGAGAGAGAGAGAGAGAGAGAGAGAGAGAGAGAGAGAGAGAGAGAGTGAGAGTGTGTGTGTGTGTGTGTGTGTGTGTGTGAGTGTGTGTGTGAGTGTGTGTGTGTGTTCCTCACTTCACAGAGAGAGAGAAGTCTCCCGGTGCGCTCTCGCTCTCTCTGATGAGGAAGGCCCCGTCGTGCCTCTGTTTGTTCAGCATCTCTTCTGCTTTGGCTCGAGGGATCTTCCCGAAAAACCACCTGGAGGATGTGTGTGGGGGGGGGGGGGGGGGGGGGGGGAGAAAACAGGTACAGGTGAACGTCTGATAAAGCATCTGATAGGCTGACACAAAGCAGACCCCTTTCATCTCCCTCAGACTGGATATATGCTATTAAAACATAACAGAATACTGTCCTTCTAAAAATAAAATGAATTTCTTAAAAACTTGTGAGTTTTAATATTATTTACGTGGGGGCTTCAAACGAGCCCGGTGGGTTTTCTGTCTCTTCATCAACTGTTATGTTTGTGAACTTTTAAAAACTAAAATGTATTTATTTCATGTTTACTAAATGCCTTTACAGTCTCTAGGATATGTCAATGATTAGCAACGACATTGATTTTATTACAGCTTAAGTTATCGATAAATAAAATTAAAAAAACAGAAATGTCCCGAATGAGGCACAAGAGTTAACTCTGTGTGTCTGTCCAGTTGTAGTTCATGATTTAGCATATATCTATTTACATGTTTATAGACTTCGTGCACTACTTTGTATTTTATTATACATACTTTGTATTTTATTATACATGTTGCATCGTTGGAGGAGCTCAGGTCAGAAGAATTGCATTGCCATTTCTACACTGAAGCTTTGTGCATATGACAATAAAACCTTTGAATTTGAATATTATATTAGCATGATCCTATATTTAGAATCTGATTCCACTTGAGGGTGTGTGGCAGTGAAAGCAGCGTGGCCAGTAGGTTATGAATGACTCACGAAAATCACACACACACACACACACACACTTAGATGAACTACTGGATTTTGCATTATGACTTTTTTTTTTTTAGGTGGATTTTTGAAATATGAGGACAGACATCAAAGCTTCATTCAGAAACCTTAATGGGAGTTTTGAATATTAATAAAAATGACCTTCAGTTTGCCCACAGTTCACACCAGGAAGTGATAATAAAGTTACACCAGCATCGGCCGGTTCCTATGGAGCTGGACTTTCATCCGTACTTCAGGAAATAGATTACTCATTATCTCATAATCGCGACGAAGCCAGAACAAAAAACAAATTTGATGTCCCTAAAATTCAAATGAGCACCAGGGAGCATCTGTGTTTCAACGTATACGAATGTAGAAGCAGAATGACATTTAATACGTTGTTTTTTTGTTTTTTTAAAGGTCCCCTATTATACTGTCTTTCATCAATATATCACAGGTCTCAGATATATCCAGAGCCTGTCTCTGATTGGCTGAAACACCAAACAGATCATTGCAGCATTACCCATAATCCCCTCTGTTTCAGCCCTGTTTCCAAAGTGCTGATTCTCTGTCTGTTACTTTAGATGAAAATAAGGAGCCCCTCCCCACGCCCCTCTGAGAGAGATTTGGTTACAAAGAACTCAATGGTGCTCTAGGAGGAGATTCGGGTGATAAGGGGGGGGGGGGTTACCTTGGTTGCTGATTGGCTAATGGTTACACAAGACAAAACATCCGTTATGACATCATAAAGTGGCCAAAATCTGATCAACTCATTTTCAGACAGGTTTTTATAAAAATGGATCAGGACAAAAAGAGAGAGAATCTTTGTTCCTGAAACTTTCAGAGTCTCTTTCCACAGAGGGGACACATGTTGATGTAGAAGAGACATGAAGAAGAGGGGACACATGTTGATGAAGAAGAGACATGAAGAAGAGGGGACACATGTTGATGTAGAAGAGACATGAAGAAGAGGGGACACATGTTGATGTAGAAGAGACATGAAGAAGAGGGGACACATGTTGATGTAGAAGAGACATGAAGAAGAGGGTACACATGTTGATGTAGAAGAGACATGAAGAAGAGGGGACACATGTTGATGTAGAAGAGACATGAAGAAGAGGGGACACATGTTGATGTAGAAGAGACATGAAGAAGAGGGGACACATGTTGATGGAGAAGAGACATGAAGAAGAGGGGACACATGTTGATGTAGAAGAGACATGAAGAAGAGGGGACACATGTTGATGTAGAAGAGACATGAAGAAGAGGGGACACATGTTGATGAAGAAGAGACATGAAGAAGAGGGGACACATGTTGATGTAGAAGAGACATGAAGAAGAGGATTTTGCACAATAGGTGACCTTTAAGGCAGACAGGGGTATATCACTTCTTAGTGGCATATGTTGTCTGTTGCATTCATGCTGCAAATATGGAAACGTTGAGAGAAATCCCTGACGGAGGGAGTAAGTGATGGAGATGGAGAGAGAGAGAGAGAGAGGGGGGGGGGGGGGGGAGATGGACCCAGTAAAAGCTCTTTACTGCTGTAAATTATTCAAAAGAACAGTCATCCAAAAACATGAAATGTCGGTTCCTTTACACGCAGGTGAAAATCCATAATGAAGTGATTCGCTTTGCATGAACACTGTCTCTTTCCTTGTTTGATAAAAGTGATATCGGAGCAATTAGTGACGCCTAGGAAGCAGCTGAGGACATTTACAGATCGTCCGTTATAACCCGAGGAAAAATGGTTTCAGAAATCAGGGTGGATTGTAATTTAAACGGCTGTCTCACCGTCCGAAGTTACACAATGCTATGGAGACAGTGTGAATATCCTTTGCTTCCAAAAACAATCAATGATAAAAACGTTGTCAATAAACATAACGGAATCAGCATTAAATATGGGATTTAGGAATAGGAATATATTACAATACAATAAAAATAACACCATAAAACGCATGCATTGGTAACACACCATTATAAAGTGTCATTTTAAGTGTTTAAACAGTATAAAATGTTGTTTGATTATGTATACTTACACACTCATCCTTATTATAGAAACAAATTATTTGGAGGGCAGCTATGATTGTACTTTTTAAAACGCTTCTGCACAGAGTCTAGATATTTCTTTATAAACTCTAGTTGAAATTGACAAAACGATCCAGGATTTCCGATGCCACCCTAATCGTTAAGAGCCTCTCCCACAATTATTGAAAGCATCCATGCTTCATGCTGCTCCACCACTCTAATCCTCAGACTATTAGCCACAAAAACACAATTACTGTGCAGCAGGGATCTGTTTACAAACAGAAAAGACACCATACTGTATTTTGTCTCGCAGTGTGAGGGGCTTTCAGCTGTCACCACACTGACCACTTCATCACTGTGACCACAGCCTTTTTCTCTCAGTAAATCTATATATTCTACCCGGAAACAAGGTGATTAACTATTGCACAAAAATCGAATCCCCACAGGATGTTGCATCAGAGTAGCATTTATTATTCCATAGCAGAAAGACAGGTCTGGAATAGGGATGGGAACGATTAGTCGAATATTCGAATATACATTTGCTTCCAAATTCCCATCCCTAGTCTGGAATAGATGTACGTTGGCGATTCACGTGTACCTATTTGCGGTTTCCATTAGGAAAGTGGTGAAAGTGATCGCAGACGCAAACAGAAGATCGTCTGGTTGTTGGATGCCGTTTAGTTTGATGTTTATTGAAGCGGTTGTACCATAACAGGTTTAGATTCTGCAGGTGAGTTGTTCAGTTTAGCTGTGTGCATGTGCTGCGTCTAGTAAGAACGGTATATTCTCGCCCGGTCACCAAGGACCCTATTTATACACACTATTTCTGCAGCTAATCCCCGCGACCAGGTGATACAAATCATATTGCATGATAGATCTAAAAATCATAATATGCCAACAATCAACATAAATAGCTCCAACAAGAGAGGTGCAGGAATGATTCCTTAACTGTGACGTGAAGTCATGTGACCGTGCTGTAGTTCCTTTATAGCCCAACATTAGCCACCTTTAGCTTAGCGGTGGTGACGTGAAGTCATGTGACCGTGCTGTAGTTCCTTTATAGCCCAACATTAGCCACCTTTAGCTTAGCGGTGGTGACGTGAAGTCATGTGACCGTGCTGTAGTTCCTTTATAGCCCAACATTAGCCACCTTTAGCTTAGCGGTGGTGACGTGAAGTCATGTGACTGTGCTGTAGTTCCTTTATAGCCCAACATTAGCCACCTTTAGCTTAGCGGTGGTGACGTGAAGTCATGTGACTGTGCTGTAGTTCCTTTATAGCCTAATGTTAGCTTTTCACTTCATGAAAATTGAAACAAATGGTCATAAACGTTTGTTTGCCACAGTGATAATGTTTTGCAATTTCCTAAAATCCAATTGTAAAATTCCATTTGCTTTTGTGGAGGGAACCCTTGTGATGCGGGTCGGCCTACAAAAAAGCACCAAATATATTACAGTCATAGCCTGTTACTAGTTGCATGAAGCAGATGCATGGTCATCTTTTCTTCACGTCCCAGGATGTGGTAACACTTTCACCCGGAGCCCATTAAGGCGAGCACCATGAGACAATGGACGGCCGCTTGCTCACTGCAGTCTGTGATTTGTGGTTCTTCTGGGATCCAGCCTTAGTGCTAACTTGGCCCGCTGGATATTTCACAATAAGAGCCACACAGAAATATGTGCAGGTATTGAAAGGTTTGAGCTTCCATTAGCAGACCACAATAAGGCTTCTGCTTATTCTGTGGAAAATCTGCTTCCACGTTAACATGCACAAAATAGAGTGGTGCAGAAATAAGTCCTAAAACCTGGAAATGAGTCAGCGCTTAGCACTTACAGGTTGTCTCTGAAGTGAATGGCTTTCTGAACGTGTTATTAGATTTTAGCCCGAAATAAGGTCTGTGGTTAACAAAGGGTCTAAATGAGACGACTAAACGTCATCACGTCCAACATTAGCCATCTTTAGCTTAGCGGTAGTGGCGTGAAGTCATGTGACCGTGCTGTAGTTCCTTTATAGCCCAACATTAGCCTCCTTTAGCTTAGCGGTGGTGACGTGAAGTCATGTGACCGTGCTGTAGTTCCTTTATAGCCTAACATTAGCCGCCTTTAGCTTAGCGGTGGTGACGTGAAGTCATGTGACCGTGCTGTAGTTCCTTTATAGCCCAACATTAGCCGCCTTTAGCTTAGCGGTAGTGGCGTGAAGTCATGTGACCGTGCTGTAGTTCCTTTATAGCCCAACATTAGCCTCCTTTAGCTTAGCGGTGGTGACGTGAAGTCATGTGACCGTGCTGTAGTTCCTTTATAGCCTAACATTAGCCGCCTTTAGCTTAGCGGTGGTGACGTGAAGTCATGTGACCGTGCTGTAGTTCCTTTATAGCCCAACATTAGCCGCCTTTAGCTTAGCGGTAGTGGCGTGAAGTCATGTGACCGTGCTGTAGTTCCTTTATAGCCCAACATTAGCCTCCTTTAGCTTAGCGGTGGTGACGTGAAGTCATGTGACCGTGCTGTAGTTCCTTTATAGCCTAACATTAGCCGCCTTTAGCTTAGCGGTGGTGACGTGAAGTCATGTGACCGTGCTGTAGTTCCTTTATAGCCCAACATTAGCCGCCTTTAGCTTAGCGGTAGTGGCGTGAAGTCATGTGACCGTGCTGTAGTTCCTTTATAGCCCAACATTAGCCTCCTTTAGCTTAGCGGTGGTGGCGTGAAGTCATGTGACCGTGCTGTAGTTCCTTTATAGCCTAACGTTAGCTTTTAACTTCAAAATCATAGAGTGCTGTTAACTTGTGGAGAATATCTTGCTGAAAAAAACATAAATCATCCTCACTGCACCACTCTAAGGATGTTTTGGGGTTAAAGCAAAGGATTGTGGGACTTTCTACTACTACTACAAAATGGAAAGAGACAAGCAGTTGTTGCTAGGGGAACACACACAGTCAATGACCTTATTATGAGTTGAAAAAATATATTCTACACATTCAAACTGACACCCTGCTGTGAAGCCCAGAAGATCTTCTGTTGGTTAGAAATGCCAGGTCGTTCTCATGCAGTCTGAGAAATGGCACAGCCTTTCCTGCTCTCTTTGATGTGGTTGTGATGATAGACAGGAAGTAAAACTATCCCTGACCCCCTGGTGAGAGGGAAATATTAATCATCATTAAATGGAAAAAGGGCAGTGATATCTGCTGGCACAAATCTTCCATGATGTTTGATGACGAAATTGTTTGGGATAGGCTAACATTTAAATATTCCACTGTTGTCAAATCATATTAAATTAAATTCGCTAGCTCTCACAGACTTTGAGACAGACTCGGACAGAGGGAAGTCAGTATGTTGTTTTTGTAATTTTAAATGAAAATAAGTTTACTTTTACAGACGGTCAAGACCCGAAAATAATCGGAATCGAAAATCAGAACCGGAATCGTTATAATTAAAACGATATCAAACCGTATTGTCATGTCATGAAGTCTATTAATGTGGGTTGTATAGAAATATGATTTGTTAAAAAAAGCAAGTCATTTTTATAACGATACGATCATTTTAACATTCTGTATCTAATACATATTTTTTAGCTGAATGCTATTGACATTTTTCAGTACTTTACCTTAATTATTTATAATACTGCTACTTATTTATTACTGTATGTAACTTCTTTGATTTGATTTGATTAACCCACATGTGTCAAACTCAAGGCCCGGGGGCCAAATCAGGCCCTTGGTGGATTTAATTTCGGCCCACAGGATCATTTCTAATTACTATTAGATCTGGCCCTCCGGTATACTGCACGCACACCTTCACTCAATCCTGAGGGTCTCCTCAGCTCAGAGCCTGACCCCAAACATTGATGAACTTGCACCCAAGATGAGATGCCAAGTATCTGGCTTGAACTAGCATCACAGAGCAGCACACTGAGTTTACATGGATGTTTCCTTCTGCACTTTTTCTCTCACGACAACAGGGCATGTTTGGTTTTCTCTTTGAGGGAAATAGTTTTTTTAAAGCTGTTGTTGGCCTGTGGAAAAATAAGAAATGAATGCAACTAATTATTTAATGTTTAATGTTGTTTTTATAGGCAATAATGTAAGCTTTGTTAGTTCCAGGTTTAATATGTGCAATAAATTCATTTCAATACGTTTTGCAATAAACATTGAACCAGTCCGGCCCTCGACTAGCACCCATTTGAGTTAGACACCCCTGGATTAACCTGTGCTTGACTTTTTATTTAATATGTTAAGCCTACTCATTATATTTAGCCTTTTATATAAACTGTAAATGTTCCCGCTGTGCGACAAATAAAGGATTTCTCATTCTTTATGTGTATTATTTAGTAGAAAAACCTAGCAAGCATCAATGAGTTGGAACATAGCAACCTCTAGTAGTCATTAAAGACTAAGTGTTACAGATTAATATTGATTCCCCATAACCGTAATAAAGACCGCCAGCCTTTGAGTATTGTCGTTACACCGACACAAAGGCAATAAAGACAATAAAGCAAGTAGTAAAGAAATAGACCGCCATGATGACATCCCCCATTGCAAAAAAATAAAAGAGGTACATCTGATCGCACCGGAGCCATAATGCAATAAGGTCAATATTCAATTAAGCGTAAGAGGCCTGCAGCGCATTAATGAAGAGAGAATCTGGCACTGAGCGCAGGTCCAGAGGTAATGTCCACTAATGATCCACTGAAGTGCTCTCACACACGAGAGAGAGAGAGAGAGAGAGAGAGAGAGAGAGAGAGAGAGAGAGAGAGAGAGAGAGAGTAGAGAGAGAGAAGAGAGAGAGAGAGAAGAGGAGAGAGAGAGAGAGAGAGAGAGAGAGAGAGAGAGAGAGAGAGAGAGAGAGAGAGAGAGAGAGAGAGAGAGAGAGAGAGAGAGAGACACACACACACACTTAAAGTGTCCGAATGCATTACAGAGGAGGTCAAGGTGAATAGAGCGATGAAAATGGGGCGCTGGATTTATGACACGAGACAGAAGGCATTTTTTTAGGCAATAGCATAGGTCTCAGATATATAAATATATATAAAAAACATGTCTATGAAGTGTTTTGCTCAAAATACCAAACAGATCACCCATTCTAGCCATGCCTCATATCCCTCTATTTCACTTCCTGTTTCAAAAGTGCTGATTTTATGTATAAAGCTTAAAAAAAACAAAAAAACATTGATAAAATAAAAAAGGAGGGGTCTGAGCTCATGCGGGACCCGGCAGCTACTGTCTAAACTAAATACTGCCGTGATGAAACGCCATATCATGGATTATCAAGGATTATCTCTGAAACAGTATGGAGCTCAAAGGCTTTCTCTCTTGCCGGTTATACCACAAGGTGAGTTCCTTTTTATTTCCTGCTTCTTCACACACATGCTCTCCAGTACAGGTTAGCTCTGAGTGTTAGCGATGCTAATGTAAACACCGACCATATTACGTCCAAAACAGTCGGGCATTGTTTCTGATAGCAACGTTTCTGATAGGGCCGTGGGTCCACATTTCAGATATTACGTCATATCGGACGCAAATCTGGATCAGCTCCGTTGTTCCCCCGTTTTTAGAGATTTGGGTACGGAGGAAAAGAGAGAGGGTTTTATTTTCTTACGCTGCGTGAGTTGCGTGAGTTCCCTGACACACCGGGGACACATATTTATGTAGAGAAGACATCAAAAAGTGCATTTTGCATGATAGGTCCCCTTTAAGTATTTTACTAATCTTGATATATGTATATATTTTTTTATATATCACACTAACTTTGAGCACAAATTCTTAAAAATAACTTTAACAAGAGTGTCTTTAGAGGCTAAAACTGTATTTAAAAAAAAAAATGATAAGTTATATTTAATAGCATTAAATTACCATCCATTCCATTCACTTTTTTAAATAGTAAATATACAGAAATATTTGTGTTTATGCATATGAAGGGTAAAAGAAAATGAACAATATTATTTTACAAAATTCGTTATTGTGTCTTGTGTCCCCTTTGAATTTTGTTCTGTAAAAAAAAAAAAAAAGTTTTAAAAAGTAACGTTATGTATCAGACGGCAGAGACAGCTTTGTTTTTACGGAGCTCCGACGCCACGTCTGCGGCGCCATCTTGTATACGGGCGTCATGTTCTCGAGATATATCTTATAAACAAGATCAGAGACACAGTACTCATACTATATCTCTCTAGAAAAACCCCTGTACAGTATATAGCACATATTCTCATTAAGGTACACAATTAAAAACGTGTTATAATACTTACGGATGGGCTTTCATCTCTATGTAATTCTTGGGAATGAAGCCGTCTTTTCCGTTTAGCTCCGCCTTGTACCAGTTCTGATCACACTCTTCATTTAATACCTGAAGACAGAGAAAGAGTTCAGGTTAGTGCCACATATATAAAGTGTCAACAATGGGCAGCAATCAACCTCCTAAATTTAGCTCCGAGCCACTTCCTTTCATTTCCTGTCACTGCAGAACGTGCGTGTTAACAACTGCCTGGTAAATATTGAGAGATTATAGAACATCAGGCAAATAAAATCGAACAAAAACTATTTGAAACGCTTGAGAAGTTAGATTATAATTAAGAAGAGGCAATAATGAGTCTGTGTTTGACAAGAGCCTTTAGCTGTGGAGCCTCATTTAGCAGTGACGGACAGCTGTGAGGGATTCATGTCTGAAAGTGTGTGAGATAGTGCATCGGTGTGTGTCCACGATCATTTGCAAGCTCCACTTTGTCTAATTATGAGTGTTAATGTGAGCAGGGAGGAGCTGAGAGAAATTAACCTTCAGGCTGCAGCGGCTAAAAAAGGCCCATGAGTGTTGTTTCATTCTTAATTACATTTTAGATTATTTTTGTAGGCCGACCCGCATCGCAAGGGTTCCCTCCACAAAAAGCAAATGGAATTTTACAATTGGATTCTAGAAAATTGCATAACATTATCACTGTGGCAAACAAACATTTATGACCATTTGTTTCAATTTCCATGAAGTGAAAAGCTAACATTAGGCTATAAAGGAACTACAGCACGGTCACATGACTTCACGTCACCACCGCTAAGCTAACGGTGGCTAATGTTGGGCTATAAAGGAACTACAGCACGGTCACATGACTTCACGTCACCACCGCTAAGCTAAAGGAGGCTAATGTTGGGCTATAAAGGAACTAAAGCACGGTCACATGACTTCAGGTCACCACCGCTAAGCTAAAGGTGGCTAAAGTTGGGCTATAAAGGAACTAAAGCACGGTCACATGACTTCACGTCACCACCGCTAAGCTAAAGGAGGCTAATGTTGGGCTATAAAGGAACTAAAGCACGGTCACATGACTTCACGTCACCACCGCTAAGCTAAAGGTGGCTAATGTTGGGCTATAAAGGAACTACAGCACGGTCACATGACTTCACGTCACCACCGCTAAGCTAAAGGAGGCTAATGTTGGGCTATAAAGGAACTACAGCACGGTCACATGACTTCACGTCACCACCGCTAAGCTAACGGTGGCTAATGTTGGGCTATAAAGGAACTACAGCACGGTCACATGACTTCACGTCACCACCGCTAAGCTAAAGGAGGCTAATGTTGAGCTATAAAGGAACTACAGCACGGTCACATGACTTCACGTCACCACTGCTAAGCGAAATGTGTGCAGTGTAACTTGATGCGCTGACCAACAAATAATTGGTTATAACTTGTTGAAACAGTGTGAATCTGTGAATATCATGAAGTGTGTTTGCACGCTATCCGGAGCACTCACACAAATACAGACATGTGAAAATATGTCAACCTTCACCGGTTGTTGGGCTGACGGTTGAATATTGGAGAATATTGGATTTCAACATTGCATTGCCCAACCCTTATCTAGACCTTTACACATTTCAGAGGAAAACTGAGCAACACCGAGACAGTCATGCATTCTCCATCCGAATGACTTTGCAAAACTCACACTCAAAGCCAATAAGAGCCCAACTTCTGACCAACAAATACCAGCCTTAAAACGAACAGAACAGAAACAGGATGTGGAACACGTGTCACAAAAAAACCCAGCTGTCATGTATTCTTTCATCAGCTTGAAAAAAAGGACATTAATCTCCCCGCTCTCCTCCACTCAGTCAGACAGAGCCTGAAGGGTGACTCACTTTAACTCAGGTTGGTTAAAAGCAATTCCATTCACCTTCTTTGATCGCAACTCATCTGCATAATTCAAAGGAAACAAAAGAAATTGTCTGAGGCATGCATGCGATCCTTAAGGCAGAATTACTGAGTTTTTGCAGACAGAAATGTCTCGTTGAATTCAAAACGAAACACATTTTTCTTCTTCCTCTCCTCTCACATTCATAATTCCCCACTAACCCAGCCCAGGACAGCTGTCCAGTTTGGCCCCGCTGCAGTGTGAGTGTCCGGGGTGCATTTGCTCCAGTGAGCCTGCAGAATGCCAGCTGTCACACACCACCCCACCCCCAGCTGCTAACCCAGCACAAGACCAGCATTACCGGATCAAGGAGTGGCCGCGGACCAAAAACATAAGCAGGTTGAAATAATCAGGAGGTGGGGGGGGGGGGGGGGGGGGTGTAAGTGTAACACAGTGGACTTAAAGGGATGGAGAGTGTGTTTAGGGGCTGTAACTGTAAATGTACCCGCTGCGGGACGAATTTCAAGATTTTCAAGGTTTTTATTGTCGTTTGTACATAGCTACAGTGGGTCTGTTGATCGTGGCTCCTCCAACAGTGCAACACAATAAAACAGATAAAATAGTGCAAGTAAATACAATAAAACAGAATATAAATAGTGCAAGAAGAGTCTATATACAAGTAATTGGGATATGATATATTAATTTGTAAGTTGCAAACAGATGAATGTTATTTCAAAAGAATAAACGCTCTATGAACACACTTAAAGAAATCCTGACTGATGCTGAAGTCAATGTGGCAGTGTCAGAGCCAAGCCTCACACAAAGAGCCTGAGCCTCGGGGTGTGTGTGTGTGTGTGTGTGTGTGTGTGTGTGTGTGTGTGTGTGTGTGTGTGTGTGTGTGTGTGTGGACACACCAAACAGACCTTGAAGAGCTCGCTGCTACAAAGACACACTGATCTAACACTGTGAGGCTTTCAGGCCGGCGGACACACAGCTCTCTGCTCACATTTGCTCCGGCATTGTCAGCTTGTGGTCGACTGCATGTGAGGGATATCAAGACTGAGAGACTACAGACATGACACTGATTCTGTGAGAACTGAGGCACAGAAGTGATTTGAGCTAGGGCTGATGTTTACCAGGGATTGCATGGCAGTGAAAAGGCAAGAGAAAGTGGTGAAAACGTGAAGGATTGTAATAAAACATGGGCTAGTTTCTATAGGTTGCACAGGAGTGGAAGAGAGCAGACACAGTGGTCACCACTGTAGGAACAGATGGGGCTCACAGTGTGATAGCAGCAGAGAGAATATACCCTGTGTAGCACACATTATACAGAGGGTGATCACTGTATGATCACTACTATACGAGTATAAGTAGCACACATTATACAGAGGGTGATCACTGTATGATTACTACTACACTAGTACAAGTAGCACACATTATACAGAGGGTGATCACTGTATGATTACTACCATACGAGTACAAGTAGCACACATTATACAGAGGGTGATCAGTGTATGATTACTACCATACGAGTACAAGTAGCACACATTATACAGAGGGTGATCAGTGTATGAATACTACCCTACGAGTATAAGTAGCACACATTATACAGAGGGTGATCACTGTATGAATACTACGAAACAAGTATAAGTATTACATGCTATCCGGAGGGGAATCACAACATCTCTCTGTCTTCCGCTAAATGTCAGAAAATTGTCAAAAGAATGCCCAAATCCCTCAACAGTTACAACACCATGCATGCATGTGATTAATCTCCCCCACAAATGAAAAAATAGTATTTTAAACTTGTTATTAATAATGAATAATCACATGTTATTACTGTGATAAACACTCGTACGTTTTTGAACGGACTGACAGCCCTACCGTAAACACCTCATGTGTTAAAGGGTCCTACTAACATGTCTTATAGATGCTCTGAACTCCAAATGACCCCCTTTTTACTTTCTGCCAACAACAGACAGGGCTTAACACCGGCACACAGAGCATCGACAGGGGGTCCGGGGTTAAACCACAACATTTGGACAGAAAAAGCCAACATTTGGAGGTCCTATTCTGACACCACTTTCCCCACATATACAATGATCTTAACTGGTGAGTTTTACAACCCGACGGCACGGAGAATTAGGCTGATCACGCGTTTTAGCACACACAGTCTGTTAAATAAGAAAATATATTAATACGTAACACCACAGCTTCTCCTGGGGCTGTTTCATCAAGTTCAAAGAGAAGCTGCTTCTGAGGAATTGATGAGAACATTCTTAGAATCATTACATTTTCTAAGAATTTCCTCAATTAAGAATAGTTTCTGTATAAGCAGAAGCCCCTAAGGTGTTTTGAGTAGCGAGCAGGAAATAGTCTGCAATGTTTCCTAATGAGAGGTTAGACAGTATGTAAATGAAATAACTCCATTACCAACATGGTAAAGAAACATAAGAAAAATACATGTTATCTTATCACTTTCACTCTTTCTCTCATGGAGCAAAACAATGGATATCAAGCATCCAGTCCAGCTGACATTAAGTACACTGTAATCTGAGTTTTCCAATTGAAACGTATTGTAATATTATATTTTATTGACCTGTACTTTAAGCTGTTTTATAATTGTTTGTGTGATAGAGATGATGCAATGTTTTTAGTGTGTGTTGATGTGTATGTACCTGCCTAAAGACTGCAGATGGAAATTAGCTATACAATAAAAAAATCTTTTCTGAGATGAATGTATTTGTATGCATGGTCCTTGTTCAAATAAATACATAACATTACATGTGACTAGGCTACAGTACAGTAGGCCTGTGTATTTATACTATGTGTAGGCTACTTTTAAAGAAGGGCTTACAATGTATTCAAGATTTGTTTTAATATAGTATTTATTTTTACACCATAGAGAATAATTCTATAAATACATTTCTATTTGATTTATTTCGAACGTGTAAAACAATAATAGAAGTGGTGGGATTAAATAAGTGTACATTTCTTCCCACCCCTTTTCAGATGTGTAACTAGGTAGATCATTTGTTTATATATAATTTATAAGTCAGTAATATTTTTGTATATCAATTTGACACTGATTAAGTTTGTATTGTATAATAATTCTCATGTTACATTTTTGTATTATTGTTTTACAAATTCGAATCAAATCAAAATGAATCCCACCCCTTCTCACAAAAACTAAATTATTGACTTTTTTTTTTCTTTCTATAATCTCAGT